ACAGCGTAAGGGCGCTGCCTGCCAAAGCCCAGGTGTTTGGGCCCTGACCGCCGCCCACCGCGAGCGAGAGCCTGCAGGGCCCCCGGGCGGCTCTGACGGGTCCGCGCCGGGGCTCTGGCCGGCAGGAGCCGTGCTCAGCGCACCCGGCCCGCTGCTGGAGGCACCCCGGGCAGGGCGGCAGAACCCCGGGCTGCGTGAGGAAGGCGAGCTCGGGGGGGGGGGAGGGGGAGGGACCGCCCTCACCGGGCGCTTCGGCGGCAGCGGGGCTCCAGGCGGGCGCCTCCCGAGCCCCGCCCGCCGAGCGCTCCGCGGCGCCTTCCGGGCCGGCAGGAAGCGGCCGGGGCCGGGCCGGGCGGCGCCATGGCGCGCAAGAAGCTGCAGCGGCCCATCGCCGCCATGGCCGAGAAGATCCGGCAGTACCGGGCGCTGAAGGAGCGGCCGCGGGACTCGCAGCGCTTCGCCCTGGACTACGAGAGCATGCGGCGGCCGCTGACGCAGAAGCGGCTGCCGGCGCTGGCCTGGCGGGACGCGCGCAGCGAGAGCCGGCTGCTGGCGCTGCTCTGCCGCCTGCCGCGCTTCGGCGTGGGCCGCACGGTCACCCGCAAGTCCTGGCTCTGGGCGCACGACGAGCCCTGCTACTGGGTGGTCGCCAAGGTCCGGGCGGACTACACGGCCGAGGTAACGGCGCCGGGCCGCCCGCGGGCGGGGGGGGGCTCCGGGCGGCAGCCCCCGAGGCCGGCCCCGCGCTGAGCGCCTCTCGCTTCCTTTGCAGAACATGGACCACGGCAAGGCCTGGGGGTACCTGACCTTCAGAGGTAGGGGCACCCCGCTCTCCTGCGGGGTCTGGCAGCGCCGGGGAACCGAGTGTGTGGGGCTGGGGGAGCTGCAGGAAAGCTGCAGTTTGTTTGTGTTCTTTTTTTTTCTCAAATTTATCAGTAACAAAAAAGTTTTCATTTTTTTAGTTTCAAATGTTGGGGTCTAGCCCTCGCGTTCCCATTCTAAGGAATATTATAGGAAAGCCAGTGCACCTGGGGCATGGGGAAAGGTACCGCACTGACGAGGCACTGGGTGAGGTGCCAGGCTGCTTTCAGGCTTCAGAAGCGAGACACGGGATGAACGCGTGGGGACACCCCAGGTAAAATCATCAGTGAAACAGGAGCGCTGGCAAGTAAACTTACATTACCAGGATTTTAAAACAATACGTAGAGTTGTATGAGTGAATTTTCCAATTTTTAAAGCTGCTTTAGAAATGTAACTTATTGGAGTTTCTGAAACACTGGTCACCCGAAGCTTTTTAAGTTGTTGGTTATTTTTAACATGAAACTTCACAGGGAGCCTTCATCGCTGTAGAGATAAATTGCTCTCATTCTTACTCACGCTAAACAAAACAGAGAGAGGCAAAGTGATTTTTATATTACAAGTTATGACTTTTGGTCAGCACAGAACTATTTGCCTGATAGCTTTTCACTCTGTTCGTGTTCTGATTTCCAAGGACAGAAGTGGGACCTCGTATTATAGGCTGAACATACTATATGATCTTTCCAAAGTTTCCTTTACTCTTGCCTCTTGTACCATCTGTGATACAGGAAAGTTGGCGCTTGCTGTGTTTCCTGGAAGGAGTCTGTTGTTGAGAGCACTGACCACTGGTGTTCATCATCTTTTCTCAGGCAAAACCGAAACAGTAATGAAAGAGATCGACCAAGCCATGTACCATGACTGGCGTATGGTGCCCAAGCATGAGGAGGAGGCCTTCAAGAAATTCACCCCAGTGCCAGAGGAAACCGTTCGGTACCTTCCATACCCACCTCTGCTCCGAGCCATGATCCTTGCTCAGTGGCAGAAAGAGGGAAGAGCAATCACAGAGGAGCCACTGATTGATCTGAAGAAGTCCGTGGCCTCTCATCTTCAGGAATCAAAGAAAAAAACTACAGGGACATCCGTGTAAAGTCTTGTTCTATCACCTGAGCTTCTTCCCCCATGCTTTTGCTGTGTGTGAACAGCACATCACCTTAACGAAGACCCACTGCCCACTGTGGTATGGTGGATCCAGGTTTCGTATTTTTCTCCACAGGACTGTATGGTAACCTCATCTAAAAGGAAAGGTGCAGAAACACTCAGATTTTTTTTTCCATAACTTCAGTTTCAGTCAGCAGAGGAAACCTTCTTGGTTCCCTGTATATTCTCTGAATTTGTAGCTCCTGTCACCCAGCTACAGTTCTTTGAAGTACAGTTTCCTTACAGCCTGAAAAAGGATATTTCTTTTTAAAGAACGTTTTTCAGGTAGTTTAAGTACCTTTGTAAATCACAGAATAATAACTCAGAATATCACATTGTTTCCCAGAGCTGTGTGTAAATGTATCTCTCTGATTAAATAAATGATTTCTTATTTCCACAGTACATTTCTAAGAAAACTTGATTTTTTTTCCAGTGCGTGGAGGTCATCATGATTAGTTGAGGTGCAAATGCAGAACCTTTAGTTTACCAAATACAAGAGGGGCATCAGACTCCTTTTACCCAGGGCGGAGTATCTGAGTTGCTTAAATATTGTAGCAATGAACAATGTGGGAGGAACACAACTTTTTTGGGATACTGAGCTTTATTCCCAGTGATGACTGTCCTGAGATGAGAGAATCAGTTCTGGAGGTACAAGGTAGCTGGGATTGGCTTCAAACAGTAACAGCTAATAACAAACCAGCACATATTCCGGTCACGGTAAAAGTTGCAAAAACGCAACTCTTCAGTGCAGTGCTCAGAATTTCACTTTTTCTCACAATAGTTGTGGCTTCTGCTGCAGTGTCACGAGCTGTTAGGGTGCTGGGGAGTGGTTCTGTTCTGGGCGTGGTAAAGGTATCACAGAAGTTGCTCAGGTTAGTAACCCAGCTTCCTGCAGTAGGAGCTATTTGGCACTTTTGTCTGCTGCAGTAAATACTTGAGAGTTGCTGTTCTATTTGCAGCAGCATCTTAAAATCACCAAGGAATTTACTGAAAGCAAGTAAAAACTGGACTCTGTGCCCTTTCCAGTGTGTATGGAAGGCCGGGATAGCACGGAGTGATGTGTCCACAGCTACCAGAAGGGGGTTGTCAACAGCCAGGAGCAAATGGGTCAACATCAGCCACCTGCACTAGCATGGGGTTCCTCACCAAAGGCTTCTGAAACTTTAAGCTGCCATGGGATGAGGGTTTTCTCATGGGCTAAAAGCTGGTCCTATGGCAAGGCCCAAAAGCTGGGAAGAACTGAGCTCTCATTCCTCTGCCCATGGCAGGAGCTGTGAAGGGTACACACTAGTGCTGGTTCCCTGGCTTTAGAAGCAAGGGGAGCGGAAAATCCGGTGTCAATAAATGCACAAATACTGTTACAGGCTGTGAGACCTCCAGCTGCAGCTTGCTGCGGATGGAGAACAGCTTGTTTGTTTTCTGTAGCCTCCTTAACCATGAATGCATTTGGGTACAGCGAGTGCAGCATAGCTCACCTGTGGAGGAGGCTCCCGTCAGGCACTGCTGCTCAAGATGGGGCTGGCTCCTGAGGTTAAAGGCCTCCAGCACAACTCCTGCTGGAGCTCCTCTGCCTTCAGGAGGGCAGAGCTTTCAGGTCCCGTGACAGTGGGATCATTGCAAGGGGTCCTCAGCTTCTCTGGGATTAACAGGTGTCTTGGGTGCTTTTGCCCCAGCGTCCCTCTGCCTGCTGCTCCTGCAGCTCTTCATGCCCCTGACTGCTTCCAGAATTTATGCTCGGCCTTGACAGCACTTCAGGACGGGGACAACAGCATGGGGATGTGTCATGGAGTAAAACCAAGAGAACAAGCATATGCTTAAAACCAGGCTCTCCCTCGCTTGCTCTCTCTAGGGAACAGCTGCTGCTCCATGGGGGAAGAAAGAATAAACTCAAATATCATTTCCAGCTCCAGGCTGGGCTGGAGCCACAGCAGGGCAGAGCAGGGAAATCCTGGGACATGCAGTAGAGGGGACAGAGGAGCTGCCTCGCCTACCTGCTTAAAGCACGCGGCACCCTGACAGCCCTTGTCAGGCAGGGCTCCTGCCCTCAGGGCCTTTTTCAAGAGCTTGTTTACTGCTTCCAACATGCTACAGATTCACTTGGGTCCTGTAAAGCTTTGGACTCTTCCACTGGTCTTCATAGGGATTGCAGGTGGGAGGCCTAAATAGGCCACCATGGGCAGAGCAGTTAGTTACAAGGCAAGTGACCACGTTCCAAGGCAGAGCCAAGTGCTCTGTTCTCAAGCTACTGCACCAAACTATTCATGTCACTGATACTACAGTGTGCTACTGTTTACAATTTCACACGCGTGCCCTAAGGATGCAGAGGCAGTTAATGAGGAAGTAGAGTCATCTAATTGTCTGGGAGGCCAGCAGCAAGGATCCTGCTTCATGCAGTTCACTCTACGGACAGGTGGTAACTGGCAGAGTCAGGATTCAAAATCCTACTCACAAATTTTTACTACTTTGCTGTCACTTCTTATCTATTACTGCTATGCATATCCTTTGAATGAATTCAACTCTAAAAAATAAATACAAACTTGTATAAATGCTGGAGACAAAGAGGAGCAGACAAGTGTGGTAAACTTTCTGCAGTGTTGAATGTCACTAATGCCTACTGCACTTTGTGAGCCACCACCCTGTACTGACAGGACATTGGTAACTTGAGCGCTGAAAGCTGAGACTTGCCATGTTAACCCTACTATCTCACCAGAAGGGACTCCACAAGGGCTGCTGTAGATAGCCAGCAGCTGAACAGTCCTTTTCTACCTTTTTTATCGGACTCTGGGAGAAGCAACACATTGCACTTCACTCAAGGGCATGCAGCTTGGAGGATCAGCACCTCCTGGTCAAGTACAGTGAGCAATAAACATCTCATTTCTTGCTAATAAATTGCTAAATGGGGGAGCATTTGAGTTGCCATTCCCACCATTTAAATATCATGATGTTATTAAAGGCTGAGTAGAAATCCCAGTGCCTTTACAGGAACACGATATACAGGCACTTGCTGATGTTAACACATTTATTACATACAGAACAGATATGGTTTGTTGTTTGATAGCATAGGGGAAAAAGCATGGGAACGTATTCATACAGCGGTCTCTTTACAGAATGCCATCTTCTGACCAAACAGCGGAGTTTACAGGCCTTAAGACACTTCTTAAAATCCTTTTGTAACATACAAGATACTTTACATACATCACAGTGGAGATATGACAGGGAAGTGTGGTGAAGCCAGTCAGTTCTCACCTTGCTGCCCAGCAGCCACCAAATAACAGAAGCTGACAGTAGAAAATGGTTCTACTTAGCTGTAGCTACCCCTCTTACGCATGTGCTTCTCTTGGAGGAAGACATGCATCCAACTGGAAAGGAACCCGTTGCTGGAGACTCAAGACCAGTTTCCTTACGTTGCCAGGGATCAGTGGGTAACAGAAGACCGAGTCACTTTTACTGCTAAAACCAAATACAGAACAAACAGTAAGAGGTAAGAACATTGCAATTCTCTATTTTCATGTTGGAGGTTCAACAGAGCTAACAAACTGGACTTACTATGCCTTGTTTTTCCCTTAAATTAGGCCAAATTATGAAATTTCCTGGGCCCTAATTAACTGTTAGATGTCTGTGGAATCTGCTAGCTAAATGTCTATCTTCTTGTTAACTTTAATGCATTCTGTGACGTGACCCAAAGAACTTGTCCTAGCAGAAAACATTTGGGGAAAGCGAACAAGAAGTGTGGCATGGTCAGCAGTACCCCAGTGAGATGTTCCTGGTAAAACGTTCCCATTCTGCATGCGGGTGTCTGATCCAAGAATCCCTTAGCCAAAGGCAAGGCAGAGATTCCAGTGTGTTGATGGCTGGAGGACGTTATCCAGCTGGTTTCCTGCCTCTGTGAGGAGTGGTGCAGGTCCATGCATCACCAGCAGTGCTCACAGGCAGTGCAGGCACCGCTGTGGCCCTGTACTTTGGTACTTGAGGTCTCTGTTCTCTGGATGTGTCCTCTTAGTTCCTTGTGGAGAGGAACTGTGTGCCCATCTCCCCTGCCTTTTCTGAACTGTGGATTCAAAAAGCATTTCAGTGCTGCTGAATCAGGACAGACATTACATGTCAGAGCTTCCCCAGTGAATACTGTGTCCCTGCAGCACACAAATAGCTGTAGACCACAAGCCTGGGTCATGGCAACAAGCGCAGGACACACCTGGGACATATTCCCCAGAGATGGAGGCGAACATCCCTGTGAGACCGAGAGTGCCGCACAGCTCAGAAAAAACAAGACGACCACCAGATCTTCTCAATTCATCGCTAACAGCATGCCCTTTGGAGGCAGGTCTGTCTCCACTGTCAGAAAGGAAGGACAAACCTCCACATCTGGAGCTGCCATGCTCTGAATACGGAGCTTAAAACTGCTCTCCCTGACCCCGATTTTTACTGCTTCTCCTATAAGCAGGACACACACTTACAATCCCACAGCACAGCTTACACAAGGAGGGCAGTCAAAATTTCTCTCGGGGTTGTCATTCTTTTCAGGAGTCAGAAACGTACAGCTTTTCAAGCTACTTAAAAAAAAAGTCAGTCAGTGCTTGTGATGTAAAAGATGCTGGGAGATCTGGCCTCATTTCTCTTTTCCATGTGACCTCAGGTGAGAGACAGCCTGTACACCTGGACTGCATCTACACACTTCCCGAACCTGACAGTCACCGTGTGAAAACAGCCACCCCCTTCCAGCAGGATGCCTGCAGTTCCTAGGATGGGACACATCCTTATGAGTCAAGGTAACCTCACCGTGTTAACGCAGAATCCACAGTACACCAACGTTATCTGCCCTACAGAGTTTAAAAGCCAACGAATGCTATGCAGAGACAAATTTATCCTAAACCTTTCAGGCTCAAAAAGAATGAACTCAAGAGTTCTTTTTTGCCTGGCATTTCTAGAAAAGGGAGTTAAAAGTATTGCTGACTTCTCTGCTCTCAAATAACAAGGTTCCAGTACCTCTTTGTTACCATAGCTTCCAAAGGCCCCATGGCCTCCACAATCAAACACTTGCCACCCATCGGAGGCTACCACACAATTCTCTCTGGACACATACAGTCACCCAGCGCACTACTGCTACGACGACAGCAGCAGAAGAGGAGGGAGCCTTTGCATCCGCTCGTATGGAGGATGTGTTCCCCACAGTAATGGCCCTGCCACCTTTTCCAGCCAACAAGCAGAAGTGCTCCTTTCTACTGAAGGCTCCTTGGACCTGGCAGCTGTCAGTCTGGGGGATATTATTCTGTGCTTAAGTGTACTCTGTGCATAGTGGATAAGGTGAAAAGTCCACTGGTGAACTAGAAAGGATTTCTTCTAGTGTTGTAGGAGTTGTGATTTACCACCACTGCTTTGGCGGGGGACACCAGGGTGACATACTACTTCTCATGCAGGTGGGAGCAAGGCAACCTGCTGGACAACCACAGCCACCACCAGTCCATCTCCCCAGCCCCAGGCAAAGTCTTTGCACAGCTCTGGCTCCAGGCTTCACTTTATCAATGCGCTGCCATTTCTCTCCTTGTAGACGCCAGCTCCAGAGCAGAACAATAACCCAACCACGCAGAAAGCGCACAGGCCCAAGATGAAAGCTGCAAGTTCAGAGGTTAGAAGGGGGTGACAGTCCGAGGCAGGAGCCGCTGCAGTTGTCTGGGGTCGGTTTCCAGCAGTAGGTATAATGCAGACGTTCTGTATGTACATCTTGGCATTCAGGTGGGAGGAGGGACACTTACATTGGTAGGAAAGGAGAAATTCTCACTCAGGGATATATGATACCTGCCACACAATAATGTGGCTCCTTTCTGCCTTAGAAAGTACTGGCTTCACCTGGGTGGCATCTCCTGCGTTCTCTTCTGTCTCATCATCTTCTCCATCCCCTGAAGACAGAAAGCAGAGTAAGAAAGGCAGGACACAAAATCCCAAGTTATGCTGCCCTGGAATTCTTCAGAAGAGGTGAGTATCATTGCTACAATCTCTGCAGCCTGATGACAGGCAGCATGAGTGCAGACCTTCCTGTATGCATATAGAACATTTATAACAACAAGGTATTTTTCTGAAGCAGGCCCATATGAATGGAACAAACTATCTGTAGCAGTAGGGTAAACTGCCCTTCTGTTTGGGGAAGCCAATGGTTATGACACCGTGCCCCAGACCGGCATAGGTGACCACAGTGAGACAGCAATGTTTGGAGCCAGTGGCACAGATGGTTTTATTTTTTTTCATTCATGCTGACTGCATGGCACTACAGGCTCAGGCAGGGGCAGGGTCTGGCAGCCATGTGCTGTGCAAGGAAAATGCTTGCTATCTGCTCCCACTGCAGAAGGTAGGAGAAAAACAGCCTTGCTTTCCAGATATCTCTCCCCACAGCAGTGATCCTTCTCTCTGTGATCATAGCCCTGCACCCCTTCCTGTTCCAGATGTCTCCCACTGCAGGCACTCACCGATCCGGAAATCGATGTACCCTTCTCCTCCACTCAGCACTAGGACATTCTTCAGCTTCTGCCCCTCGGTCTCTGTGGTTGCTGTGCTGGGGTTCTCTGAAGGGCTGTCCAATACACTCCCATTCAAGGTCGCGAGGACGTTCCCTGGGTCAGGACAGAGGTACCGTTAGTGCCTCTGCTCAACCCTCATGTATTTAACACACACAGATACAATTGCACAGGACAACTCCTTCTGCTGGTTAACTCTGGGAGACACTGCAGTTTAAACGACCAATGTCTGAGCCACAGTGACATCTGTGTGGCACTGACTGTGCTAAGAAATCGCACAGATAAGCTTTTGCTGCAGATCGGCTCAAGCTCCTGCCATAGAATGGACAGCAGCACAAGGCCCTCCTGAGGAAGGGCAGTGCTCATCCTTACCAGGCACAGAGACAAAGAACTTGACAGCATCACGGTGACCATGGAAACAGAGTTGTGCCTGAGCCATGGAGCAGTAGGGAATAAAACTGCTGGCAGATTTGTCGCTGTTGTCATCGCCATACACGTGGATGACCCCACCAGAGCGGCTGCCCTCTCCAGAAGTGGGTGATGTCTTGTTGGCTGGGGACAGGGAGAAGGAACATCGTTAATGATAGTTTTGGTCCCATTTACAGAAGAGGCTCAGTGAAAGAGAAAACTCATGAGCCATGAAGGAAAACCTTAAAGTTCAAGTCTCTTTAAAGGTCTCATAGAATAGAATAGTTCAGGTGGAAGGGACTTTCAAAGATCATCAAGTCCAACTGCCTAACCACTTCAGGGCTAACCAAAAGTTAAACCATATTAATGAGGTCATTATCGCAATGCCTCTTGAGCACTGACAGCCATGGAACCTTAGGAAGCCTTTTCCAGTGTTTCACCACCCTTACAGTACAGAAATTTTTCCTCACGTCCGATGTGAACCTCCCCTGGCACAGCTCTGTGCTGTTCTTGCATGTCCTATCCTCAGTTACAGGGCACAGAGACCAGCACCTCACTTTGCACTTCCCCTCCTCAGGAAGCTGCAGAGACAAAAGAGGTCATCTCCTGGCCTCCTTTTCTCCAGGCTAGACAACTCAGGTGTCCTCAGCCTCTCCTCATAGGGGAGGCCTTCCAGCCCTTTTACCAGCTTTGTTCTCCTCTGGACACTCTCTAGTACCTTAACACCCTTTTTATATCATGGAGCCCACCCAGAACTGCACAAGATACTCAAGGTGGGGTTACACCAACACTAAATATAGCATGAGAATCACCTCTTTTGACCAGCTGGCTGTGCTGTGTTTCATGCACAATGTGCTTTGCTCTCTTGGCTGCCAGGCCATGCTGCTGGCTCATGTGGAGCCTGCTGTCACCAGCACCCCCAGATCCCTTTCTGCTGGGCTGCTCTGCAGCCCTTTGTCTCCCAGTCTGTTCCTGTGCCTGGCATTACTCTGTCCCAGCTGCAGCACCCAGCGTTTTCCTTTGTGAACTTCACACTGCTGCTAAGTGCCCAATATTCCCATCTGTCCAGATCCTTCTGCAAGGCCTCTCATCCCCCAGAGAGTCAACAGTACCTCCCAGTTTAGTATCACCAGCAAACTTGCTGAGGAAGCATCCCAGGCCTGCATCCAGATCATCGATGAAAATATTGCATAGAACTAGCCCTAGAACTGAGCCCAGAATTATGTGAAGGCTGTGATGGAGGAGACCACACACCACTACACAGTCCCTCACTGTTAGGTTGGTAAATCCACTCATCATAACAAACTACATTTTTCTAGTGTTTGTCTACTAATGAGGTACACACCCCTGGAGGCTGTGGACAAGAGTGACGGGCATGCTGGGGAAGGCCTCTGGGGTGTTCCAGTGAAGGTCTCTTCTCTAGCAGCAATCCTGTCCAGCCTTCAGAAATCATTGCCTGTCCTAGGATCAGCCTCCAGCTTTGGTACCTGGCTGTGTAAGTGAAGATTTCCACTGTACCCATGACACATTAAGGCCTCTTAATGTACACCTGGAGAATTAGTGCTATTCTGGGAATTGGTGAAGTTTTTCTGTTTATCATAAAATCACAGAATGGTTTAGGTTGGAAGGGACCTTAAAGATCATCTAGTTCCAACCCCTCCGCCATGGGCAGGGGCACCTCCCGCCAGACCAGGTTGCCCAAAGCCCCATCCAGCTTGGCCTTGAGCAGGGATGGGGCATCCACAGCTTCTCTGGGAAACCTGTTCCAGTGCCTATGAGTACAGAATTTCTAAACCTACCCTCTTTTAGTTTAAAGCCATTACCCCTTGCCCTATCATTACAATCCCTGACAGAGTCCCTCCCCAGCTTTCCTGTAGCCCCCTTTAGGCACTGGAAAGCCACTATCAAGTCTCCCTGGGGCCTTCTCTTCTCCAGGCTGAACAACCCTAACTCCCACAGCCTGTCTTCATAGGAGAGGTGCTCCAGCCCTGTGATCATCTTTGTGGCCCTCCTCTTGCCTCATACTAATACTTTCATGGTTTCCAAGTCAAGTCCTTTGCTCATGCCAAGCTCTGAGCACACAGGCTGCTGAAAGCAGCCTCGGTGTCTGGCTGCAGGCCTCTCAGCCCAGTTAAGGTCACAGCAGCAGAGTACGAGCCTTCCTTTGTCCTCAAGTTAGCTCTGAAGCAGAAGATCAGTTACTCAAGCAATGAACATCAGGAAGATAGATGTTCACCACCCACAGCTTCCAAGGATTTCAAAGTCAGCTCAGAGGCCTGCACCTTGCAGGTCTGAGCTCTCAGGATGCGGATGTTTCCACTCACCAAGGAACAGAGAACAGTGCTCAGAGGTCAGGACAGGAGATGCTTTCCTTCTGCAGGTACCCATATTAGTAAACCACAAACAGTACTAAAATCATAAGGCTTCACTTTCTCTATTTCCAGGCAGAACTGAATTGCTTAGTTAATCATCTGTAATTCTCTGTGTTGGCTTGGGCTGGATTTCAGCTGGTAAGTGGCTCAGGAACAAAGGAGATTTTTACCTAGCAGGTTCATGATAGGATGCTGAGGTAAATACAAGTATTTGGACAGAAGAATGAGAATCAATGTGTGCAGGGACAAGAATATCTCTAAGATGAAAGCTCTCTGCACATCTCTGTGGTTTGGTTTACTGTAAGCATCTACAACTGGCTCAGCTCCTCTGACTGAGGGACAGGGCTGGTACTTGTGCTTCAAGCTTCAAGCTCAATATCTGTCTTCTCACAGTGACCAATACCAGATGCTTTAGAAGGAAGAGAGACATGCTGATAATGTTTCTGGACAGCCACAGGAACATCCTACAATGGGAAAAAATCCTCTTTTCTGACTGTGGAAAGGCTGAAGTAAGTATGAAACTGAATGGCGAACTCAGACCCTGCCTTAACTGGCACAAAACAAAACAATCTTCAGTATTTATCCAAGTCTCTCTTGTTAAAAGCCTTGGTTGATTATCTGCAGCTGTCAGGTGCCACAGCACCTACTACCACTGGCCTGGAAACTGATTAAGAGAAGCATCCTTGGAAAACAAAGGATGACCATGGAAGACCTTGGAAGAACAATCTACTCCTGCTTCTTGGAGCTGACTGACTAAATCTTTACAATCTCCATCTCAGACCTGGCCTACCAGAACAAGGGAACTGATTCTGATCAGAGGAAAGTACCTTTGACACACAAAAAAGGAGCGATGGCTGATGAGATGGATAAAAACGTTTTGGCTATGGGAAATGATGACATTTACATTACTGTCTCTGTTCACTTTTCTCATATGACTAGCTTAAAATGAAAGAGTGATGAGGAAAAATGGGTGGAGAGGTAGGATGTCAGGATGGAAGGGTAGAAAAATATGAATGCTAAGGTGAGCGGGTGTAAAAGGAGTGCAAGCTGAAGGAAGGAGGCAGTGGACTTACCCCGGAGCCCAAGAAGTTGGCCTCGGTGGAGGACTACAGCTAGGTACAGGGAGGGAGTGGGAACACACAGGGGCACAGGAAGAGATAGGCAGGATGGGAGAGAATAAAAAGGTGGTTACTGGGAGAAAATTCAGGGAGCAACAGAAATGTATAAACTTGGAGAAACCACAACAAGAGCTACAGGTTTGATCAGCTTATACCAACACTGTTCTTGCTCATTTTGCTCTTATCATACGAGGATAAATATAGTATCCGAGACAGAAGAGGGTCCATGGTCACAAAGATCCATTGCTAAAGTTCTTAGTGAAAGTTTACAGCTTACCACATTTTTACAGAAGCACCAAAAGATAATGCAACTGATTTACAGCACAGAATAAGCTCAATTCAGAATTATGACAACAGTACCAAGAAAGAATGGGATCTAATGTAGTGATTCAGAAATGAGACAGAGTTTACAATGTACAGAGGACTCTGTCACTGGCTTCCTGGTGTCAGACCCAGGGTCTTCAGCAGCCCTAGAGGAGACAACTTCATCTCTGACTTCCAGGAAAATTACAACAGATTTGCTCCTCTTACACAAGAGCTATTTGCTTCTCAGCCTTCCTGTCACCAGTGGTGAGAAAATGTACATTTCACTGCTGTCTGTTGAAAGCAACTGCAGTCAACCTCAAATCCTACTCCCTCAATATATTTTGGAACAAATGTTCCACCAAGGAAATTAGATGCTGACCAGAAGGTACAGAACAGAATTACTGAGAGCTTCAATTCAACTTTCAGCTTTAGATATGTGCCTGTTAACTACTACTGCTAGGTCTCTTCACCAGGTTTAATTTGTGTTAGGATACTGATTTCTACTTGACTGATAAAAACTGAACCCTAATATGAGTAAACGAAGCTTTTCTAAGGTCAGCTTCTGAAAAATACTGTCATGGAGATGTCTACAGCAAATAAAAATTTCCAGGGAAATCTTCCTGGTGACTCAAGAGCCTCCTTTTGGAGGCTTGCTACAATTTCCAAAGCTTTGTTTCTCCTTTTTTCCAGTAGCTACAAAATCAGCTCACATCAGTCTGCTCTGTCAAAAGAGAAGACCGATGAGAAGATGGTAGAGACATCACTGGTGCCCCAAGAAAAATATAGCTTCAACTGAACTGAAAGGAACAGTAACAAATCTCCATCTGGTTTTAAATAGGCAAAAAACATTTAAATGCACACTTAGTTCCATAATTAAGGAACAGTTAAACCAAGGGCAAGGTAACTCGTACTCTGGGCGCTTCTCTCTGAATGTAGCTATGATCAACGGTGTGTCAGGTTCAGAGGAAAAACGTACAGAAAATATTAGCCTGCCAGGGCCATCTGCCACACTGCACAAATAACATGCAAAAGCACTGTTCTTTTCAGGGCAACATGGAACAGTCTCTGATAAAGATCACTTACTCTCAGTCAGTGGAATGGAGATGACAACACCATTCCCTGTCCCCACCCAGAGACGATTGCCAGCAATGAGCAGAGCTGTAATCCGTACAAAGGAGAAGCCCAGTTTTCCAGTACCTAGGTAAATGTGCATAAGAATTGTAGTTAGTTAAGACTGCAGGACTTTCAGCAAGGTCTTCTACTGAATTTTCATTTCTCTCTGATCTCAGTAAGCAACAGACTATTTACTGACAGTCCCTACTGCCTCACCTAGCATCTTGCTGACATAAGGCTCAATGTCAACATCCTGCAGATGCTGATGGCTGTGAGCATGGTAAAGCCTCAGGGTGGAGTCCAGGCGGATGGAAACCCATACTCCATCTCCAATCCATGCCAGCTGTCGCACCTGGCTCTCGCGCCGAGGATGGGCATCAAAGGATTTCTGAAATGCAAAATAGGTGGGCCGGTGTGAGTTCACAAAAGATCTGCAGTTATCTGCACATATATTCTATTTTCCTCGACTGAGATTGCATGCTTGGGTTTCAAAGCCTTTGGAAGAAAATGTATAAATGGCAGAAGTTAACTATAGTATACAAAAAATCCCTAGTTTGAAATGAGGAGTTGCATGGCACAGAGTTGCAGCTTCTCAGAGGACATGGGCTTTGCAGAGCACTTTGGGAGCAGGAACATTTAGAAACCAACTGCTTTCAATGTGATTGGCAGAGAAGGTAAGGACTTTCTAACTATATCCATCATTTGTGCCTCATCGCCTACAGATGGAGAAGTCTTAGACCATACATGAAGGAGAGCTGTAAAGCACAGGCATACATTTGTACAGTATGTGACCCCATAGCATTAGTAAAGACAAAGAAAGTCCTCAGTTCAGACTTATCTAAAGATTTAAGCTCTGCAAAGGGAGGAAGGAATAAATGCCTCTCTGGCAGATTGTGTCATAAGATGACCCAGACTGACAGTTTGACAATTTTCGTCCTACAGTCAGCAATGAACAATAAAAATGTTCTGCATTTCCATAACAGAAAACAGCGAGAAGAATAAATACAACACAAGTATGTGCATACATACACATTTGCTCTCCTACCTCAATCTGCATTGTCTTAGGTTGAATAACGTGGATTTTGTTCTTGTAGCCACACCAGACTCTGTCATACACAACAGCCATGCAGCGGATAGAATGGTGAGTATGGCCAAGGTCCATGAGGTGGTAATTACTGAGATCCCACTGACCATCTAAGGTGAAAAAACAAGGGTGAAAAACAATGCAGCTCCTTCATGACATGGCAGTATTTAACAGAATCCTCTTGCCTTTCTATTTATATCTAGGAAAACAAGCCTAGCTGATACTGAAAAGCTGACCTTGCTTATGTCTGTGAACTTCCCATCAACTCACAAAACCACTTCAGGCACAGCCTTATAGTTACCAAGCACATGCCAATAGCACATAGTTTAGTAGGCTCCCCAACTCAGGCTAATTTAAACATCCCTTGACTGTAATGAAGTAAACACCCTTCCATAACAAGTACAACAAAAACAGCAGGGAAAGAAGAAAGACAAGTTAACAAGACTATGTGGAAACTTAAAAGGAAAAGAAGCATACAGTCTTTATGGTAAGGCTTTCTCATATCACAGACAGACATTGTTATTTCCCTGAAGTGTCAGGTCCAGGCTGAGGAATCAGATCTTCCTTCCCTTGGTTTTATTTGCTACCTAATCAGGCAGATACTTTGTCTTTTGCAGACAGATTGCCTCTAGGTGATGAAGTATTATCATATTTCTGATGGGAACATTTTGTATGTGCCAGTGGCCAGGACTGAACTCAGGAGACAGGCTGAATTGAAAAGTAGATTGCACAAAACCAGGAAATCTCTGCATTTCACCCTAGCTGATAAACTGCTACTCAGTGAACAACTGAGTAATATATTCTTAATATACAAATATTATTCACAATTAGCAAATTCCCATGAGCCTCAGGGTATGAATATAGCTTAAGAACTGTTGAGGTTAAAGGGAAAACACAATCTCCAACAGTGAAGAGGACAAGAAATACAGAATTCAAAAAAGCATCTTGAAATGACATGATTAAGGCATGTCAGGTTACTCAGACATCTTTTTTTTTTTCCACAAGAAAAGTGAAATGCCAAGTGCAATGTGAAGGCTCTATTTGTTTGGGATTTACAGACTTCCAAAAAAATCCAGATCTGTCTTCTGCACATGCAGAGACCAATTCCACTATTTACAGAGAGATCCATCTCACCTGGAAAGCAGTAGGGCTGTTTGTACGGCACAGGTGATCTGCTCAGGTACCGCTCACCTGATCTGTTTGGAGCTCCCCATGTGTGCACTGTACAGTTCATTTGTGAACGCCCAGTAACACTGATTATGGCCCAAATGCACTAATCTTACCAAACATGCCTCAAACAACTGTATCGCATGTGTGTTCTAAGACATGTTACAATCACTCCACACGTGCTTACACAGCACATACACACACTCGCTTTTCCCCCAGAAAACCTCAGGAAACTATGCTAAAGTATGTCTTGGGTGTTTAAGGTTAAGGGTTACATGTGTATAATAGCTACATGTATGCATCTTAACCACATGTTTGTACTCTAGCAAGCCAGCACCTTTCCTTCTTGACTAACTATAGCATTTAATTCACTGCTGCACTCTTGGCCAGCTTATTTTTATTTTATTATATTGATCTTTACCTTCTCCTCGGTGGAATATGGCTAGTGTTCCATCTGCCAGAGCAACAAGGACCCTTCCCTTCACATGCCTGAAATCACAGGAAAGTACTTTTTACAAAGTCTGTGGAAGTAAAGAACTTAACAAATCCTTTCTAACTTCCATGCAAACCTTCCTCATATTCTTTCTACAATTCCCATTCAGTTTAACACTTGCAGGAACATCCTATAATGGCAGAGGATTGTTCTTACTTATGTATAGTAGGATTATCCAACAATTTCCTGTTTAGTTTAACTTCTCTTTCACACTTTAAATTCCCAACAATTTCAACAAATTCCACCCAATTTACACCCTCTCGAAATTTTGCTTTTCTCTTTCCCACTTCTTTCTTCCCAATACTGCACTTGTCCTGTAGCACCTCATTCACAGTATTGGGTCAGGTCTGCAATTTAACGGGGTAGTGGATCAGTACAAGGCTTTCTAATAACAAAATCCTCAGGAAACTTTCCTCACAAATTTATGTACTTAGAAGTGTAAGGAAAAAGACTGACAAAAAACTATCACCCCAACAAAGACATCACTCAGTCACCAAACCTCCTCCTTCAGCATCCCTTGGAGTGCACACTTACACTAGACTCAGTACGGAGTCTTTCAGCTTTATAGAGTGCAGACACTTCTTCCAGTTAGACACCGCAGAGTGCACATACAACCTGTAAGAAAGGACAAATCAGGGAGGATTAGCAGCAAGGTCCCACATCTTTAGCCTGATAAAAGGACACGGATGTGCAACGTGAGGTGAAATCACAGTGTCCATGATGAACTGAGGGCTCAGAACTCGTAACGAATCCCTACTGCAGAAATGAAAAGCAAGCTAGATGTATGAGGATGAGTAGAGGCCAGAGGACAACTGAGACAGAAACCTGCCAGCCTAAGGGGAACCTACCAGCCATTCTGTGCTCCCAGCCACATGGTGGGGGCAGCACTGGTGCAGGTCCCAGCAGCATCCCCATTCGGTTCCTGATCTGGCAGTGCTGTGCTCGACTCTGTCTTCAGCTGACCATTCTCCCTTAAGAGACAAAAGAACATTGTTAGAATTGTTTATGAACAGCAACACACAGAATGCCCATCTGCACTCACAGGCTGGCACTGCACAGGCAGATAAGGGCATTTGTGTATACACATCACATCCACAAAAACACTTCAGTGTTTTTCAATTGCTTGACTCCTGAACATGCAAAACTTTCTTCTCCCCCAAAGCAAATAGCCAGTGCTTTACAGCCATAGAAGTTAACTTAGTGTTTAGCAGTAATTTTCTCTGTTCAATAATTTCTCTGTTCATTTCTAACTTCAACAGAAACAACTGAGAATGACTTTCAGGAACAACTGGAACAAGGAATGACTTTCATCCCAGATTTCCACCTTGCTCCTCAGCCCATCACATCAGACACATTTATATTAAGAATTTTGGGGCAATGACTTTCTTCATCATCTTTACAGCACATAATAGTTATTTGTTCTTTCTTCATCATCTTTACAGCACATTAGAGTTACTACTGGAATGAACACAGGATCATTTTCACATGTCGATCAATAAGGTCCTTTGGTAAGAACATTAAGTGCACGTGCATTTAAACTCAAAGAGATCAAAATTTTTGTTCTTTAACAGCTGATACATAACCTGCTGCTGGCTAAACCATGCTTATTTTCATTTTGTTTTCTTCCTCTCCTTATCATCTCACCTGCAATACTATTTGGACACAAAATTGAAAAAAAAGTTTGACACTTTATCAGAAGATCAGGCTTATTCTCATAAACAGCTTACAAGAACAGAGCTTGTAAAGAACTGTACTGATACATTGGCCCCAGAGCGCCTACCCATTCTGCCTAAGAGGTGCCTGCACAGGGACTGGATCCGTAAACACGTGCTCTGTGAGGGGCCCAGGCCGGGCTTGAATAGGGTCTGCTTCACTTGTACCATTCTCTGGTACCTCTGTAGCTTCTGTTGCCTCCTCTGTGGACTGGGACTGGTTGATCTTCCCATTGCAGACAGCAGCCACTTCACCTAAGAGACAAAGAACAGTGGGAAATGTACAAAGGGCTGAGGACTGAGCTGTAAGCTAGTTAAAATCATCTTTTTATTTATTTATTATTTATCCTTTTTTGCCAGATACAATCAACCCCCGAGCCTGCATCACAGATAGCAGTTTATCCGGAGTGTTTGCTGCTCTGATGGGAAAACAGAGGTAGTTTTCAAGTAAAATACCATCTGTGGCTAGTAAAACATCAGGAGTTCTCCAAGGCTACCACTGCAGTATGGAATCAGCAAGAGCATTATTAAGTTTTCCATACAGGTTTAATTGACTTAACATGAAGCCATGGTTGAGAGGAAAAGCCACAGACGAGAGAAGATCAGTAACAAATTTAACAGGGCAAACATATAACCTGTCCAAAATACTCTGCTATATTAGCCCCACAGCCCGGTTGCAGGATGGGGATTTGCTTGGAGAGAAAAGGAGGGCTCTAAAGATAAAAGTACCAAAGGGACTTTGGTCTTCATGTACTGCATTAAGAAACTTCTTGAGATCTCTGAAGTAGTTCAGTCAGGGGCAGAAGGATGCAGCTATAACACTAGAAGGTCATATGGAACTAGCTATAATTGGACTGCCATTAAGTTTTATATCCCAGAACTCACTCTGTCCCTTGTCCAGCACAGGTGTGTCACCACGCGAGGAACAGTTGCTTCGTGGCACATTGCAGCGGGTTGCACAGCCCACCAGAGTGATTCCTGCCAAGACACCATCTGTTCCAGATGATTCTTCAGGATTTACATCTCCCTCCAGAAAGATCTCGCCTGGAGGATAATCACTCTCACTGGCCGCTGAAGGGCAAAGAACAGATTCTCCCATGAATCTAGCAGCCACTGCTAATTTAAATGTAGCAGTACTCCTGAGATCACCACTTGGAGGGAAGACACTGATCCTCGAGGTTCACTAGCCCCATAGAGGCATCACAACATCAGTCAACACTGTGGCGAATCCCCTCATCCCTAATCCAGGACAGCTACAGAGCCCTCCCAAACCTGGGCAAGGCTCACTCTTGCTCCCAAGAGACATCCTTTACATGCCAAAGGAACCACTTAAATGCTCAGGAGTGAAGGATCTCCATAGAAGTGTCCTAACAAGAAGGCAAGATCTTGAGTTACAGTTTTGAGGGAAAATTACAGAATGCAGCAGCATCCAAGGGTTCATTCTGAAGTGATGATGCTACATTTGTCACTCCTTAAGTGGAGAAGGTGACCTTGTGCAGATCACAGACAGTGTGTGGACCATACTTACCAGGGATGCTGGAGATGCAGAGCACATGAGCATTGCAGACAGTGAACTGGTCCACCACTGTGCCAGGCTGATTGGCATCAATGATTACAACTTTACTTGTTGACAGTGTACTGGTGAGAATCCAGACACGACTGGATGTGGCATCCATTTCATGGAACTCCTTGGCCTTCAGGAGAGCAAACACATGGGCAGAATCAGTGCTCCTCCCAAATCAGACTGAGCATATTATCACTTGGAAACATTTGCAGATGCAAAGACCACAATACCAGCTCCAAAGATCCAACTCTATCTCTAGCCAGTGCAGATAAACAATATGAGCAACATAAATTGCCTTCACATTGCTGCACTTCTATCTGGAACAGAGGCCAAAAGCCTGTCTGGCTCCCTAGGGCCAGGAAAATTTGGCCATTAATTTGTCTTCTGAGCTATCTGACTAATACCACTGAACACTCACTTTGGACAGAATACCATGAAGCTGGGATGCACTCAAACTATCAGCTTAAGCATGCTGATCACCAAAAGACTGTATGACAGCAGTGTGAGACAGCCGTGAACAACTCCACAAATCAGGAAGGATAAAATGCTGTATTATCTGTATATGTATCTGTATTCTTATACTAAAAGCAGAGCCAGAATATATCTCAAGAGCTTCAATTTCTGAACAAAATGAACTTACAGTCTATACTCTTCATGTCTATACTCTTCTTAAAGTTTTTTGATGATGTTGTTTTTTTCTGTTTCTTTGTTTGAATTTACAGGGATGAGGACTCCATAGTCTTCCTAGCAAACTTGTCAGTCCTTAACTGTCCCCATTATAAGCAATTTTTTCAAAAATTCCAGATGTTTCAAAAGCTGAAGCTGGAAAGTTCTATCCTGGATAATTTATCCCAATTACACAGGGTTCCTGACAGAACCTTACCACAAACCTTCCCCCACAAGAAAGAATCTCAGAAATACTGCAACAGTAGTGACAGTAGAAATGACTTTGCTATATATGTAGTAAGTACAAAGGTACTGAGAAGAGAGGACATGTAAGAGATGGAATGAGAAAGAACACTGGAGGAAAAAAAAAGTCAATTCTCTTTTCTGACCTTTTTCTTTTCAGGAGAGGTATGGTTACTTTTATTGTTCTCGCTCTCTACTTCCCGATCACAAGTGAGGGGATCACGTCCAGGATCCAGTTTCTGCCCATTCCCAGACTCCTGCTCCAAAGGTCTCCACCCCATGAGATTGACTCCAGCTGCACACCACAGCTAAACAACAGGAACAGAAATCTGAAGCAGACTGTGTAAACATACCAAACAACTAAAACATTTAGGTAGAAACAATAGATTGTTTATTTCTACTAGAGGACATAGTCACACTTGATGTAGGTAAGAAAAGGGATCTCTGCAATCTAGCAAAAATCACCAAGTTTTTAACAGATGTGTCAAATATTTAAAAATAAAAATAATAAATCAGGTACATAACTGAAAATAGTTTTCTGAAATGTCCTCAGTTTTTCTGAGCATTCCTAAGTGATTGTAGCAAAGCAAGATGGAAGCTGCTACTAGTCTGGGGTACAGTAAGAAGCATTATACTCAACCTAAGCTGACAGTGACTGCACACCCAGTGCACTTCTGACCCTCAGTTCTCCTCCCACCCTTGTACTCTTCTGTCTCCTCACATATCCCTTAGCCCAAAATCAGTGCTCGTCTGATCTTAGAGACCTATTCAAGGAACTAAGCCAGCAAAAATTGTCCTAAAATAATCATAAAAGAAATATACTGAACAGAATATTATCTAAAGATCACATCAACCTTCTAAAAACAAGAGCATTACAAATTTTCTTACAACTTAAATATCACAATGAAGTCTAAAATCAGCACTAAATTTTGGTGAAGTTAATGGTAGACTGCTTAGTTAGAAACAACTAGTTATGGCAGATAAATGTGCTACCTGCAGAGAGAGGATCACTTATTCTCAACTGCAATTCTACTGAAAATATTCTAGTATTGACTGGGGTGGTTTTACCCTGCTAGGAAGCTAAACTCCACCACAAACACTGTCTCACTCCCCCTCCTCAAAGGAAAAGGGGAAGAAAATATGATGGCTCAGAGGTTGAGATAAGGACAGGGGATCACTTGCCAATTATTGTCACGGGCAGAAGAGACTCAATGGAGGGAGATGAATATAATTTATTGCCTATCACTAACAAACTAGAACAGTGACAAACTAAAACCACTTTCCCCCCATCCATGCTTGACTCTGGCCAGCAGCGAGTCCCTTTGGGAGCTGACTGAAGCTGGCTCTTATATAACATGGGGCAGCTTCTGGGCTCTGCTCCCTGCGGCCCCCTGCTCCTAAACACTTGCCATGTAAACCCAATGTATTGATAGACACAGCTTCACAAAAATCTTCTCTAGCTACTTTTAGCCTTTTAACTGTTAACTTTATTCCCAGTCAAAAGTGAAACCCAAAGGAATGATGATGAAATGTGTGATTCCCCACTCTGCTTTAGAACACATCTGCCCCAGAGCCCTAAGGAGTCTTAATAAAAGCTTTAAATAGTATAAGATGTTGCTCATATGTCTCAAAATAAGCAAAACCTGTATGACAGACATGGGAGCTGGCATCCAGAATCAGCTGAGAATTATGTACGAGTAGTACTTTTCCCTATGTACACTAGAAACCACCATTCCTAAATGGGAAGCAGAAGGTAGGATTTGGAATGAATAAAAAATGCAGACTGTTGTAAAAACTGTGTATTTAGCAACCAAGTTCTATTTATTCCATGTCCACTTCTGGACTGCAATTGTGTGCAGAGGCAACATACCTTCATTGTTGGATCCTTCTCTACTAGTGGGCGACAATATACAGGCACAGGGACATTTTTCATCCGATTATCTTCCTGACCACCATTGGGGCTCAGCTGTGGGGAAGAGGAAATGGAAAAGACAGTACCAAGGCATAACCACTAGGCTATGCTAACTGCAGTGCAACCAATATGGCAAAAACAAACTTCTTAGCCTCATGGGTGGGTGCCAATAGCAGTTGATGCTTCATCTGACATCTTGCATGAAAAAGTCCCTACAGGGATGGGAACTTGAGAGACTGTTTCTCTCACCATTATATGGTGTACCAGGTGTGGTCAGCTGAGGCCAGCCACTGCACTAGCAACAGACAAAGGGTTGTTAAAGGACACTCCCCGTGCTGGAGTGTGCAGAAGCCAGAACACAGGCACTCTGTTCCACCATGTTCTGAAACTCCTCCACTTTCAAGCCACACTACTAGACTCCTTCTTTTCAGATGATCTTTGACCAGAGTTAAAGGAGCCATAGGCCAACAAATGAGGCTGGTGACATTTTATTTTGTGTTACTGCTGGGGAGAATAGGGTGCAAACTGCTCCACGTTTGTTTTTTTATACTAAACAACTAGTAGAGTTCTCAGAGTATAAATTAAATATCTGATGTTGACTTCCAATGATACTAATGAAGGAAATAAAAAAAAGGACTGGGCTCTGGACAAAGACTGATTACTTGTATTTTAGACTAGGTTCTTTCAGCACCTTCACAAAGAAGAATGCTCCCCTATTGATTGCAGTGGACATACAGAAAAAAATTAATTTATTCAGTGCCTGCAATTATATCATATGGAAAAGACATGCACATAATACCTCTAACTGGAGGTATTTAACAACTATGGCTACAGTCACCAGTGGGAGAGTTAGGTCTTCACTGGTATAACTGAGAAGGACAGTGTCCCCTCAGCCTCTCTAGGGAATGGTATCTACCTGTTTGTACTTGGCAGGGAGACTCCAGCCACAGGCCTGCAATCGCCCATCATCATTCCGCACATGCTCCCGGACCTGGCGGTACTGCTCCCGCTTCTGTTCACGACGTGCTGAGGATGTGCAGTCACTGAGGAGAGAAGCAACAGCGTTACTTTTCAGTCTGTGGTGAAAAACACAGGCAGTAGGTTAAGGGACTTTGTCATCATGGGGAGAGTAAACTCAGACAAAAGAGTTTAATACAAAGCAGTAAAAATCCATCTTTGCACAAGGTGAAAAGGAGACGCAGGAAATGAAAGGAAAACTCTGTTATGAAGCAGACATAGGCAATCCTAATCTCTAATTCCCTGTTACCTGAGTGATGTGGCAGGCCAAATCATGATCATCTCCACTTCAATCTTCCAAGAGCCCTTCAGAAACATAATCAACCTTCCATGTGACCATTTATGAGATAGCAACTTTTGTTTAGCTGCTACAGTTTCCTTATCTAAGGTCTCCATGAGGTAGGCATTTTGAGTTCTTCTTTATTATAGTCAACTAATTATATTTCTGTCCATTTTTAAGCTTTCACTGCTGACAGGGAAAATATGTACTAATTACTATTGAAACTGCAGCTTTCAACACAATGAAGCCAGCTGTGGCACAAGTAAGATGAAAAATTGATCTGCGAGCTCTTAGGATACAATTTAATATAAAAAAAATGCTGATTGAATATCAGTTCTGTCTCTCAATAGGTTTTTAAAGAATCACTCCAAGGTATGAACATCAGAAAAAAATCCAAGCCAAAACAAAAACACCTCTGCACACATGTAATGACACACATACTTAAAACAAAACCCCTAAACCATATACTTAAAAATTATATTTAAATTATTATACCTAAAATTTGAAAATATACTTAAACCAAACCCCTAAAACAAAACACTCTCAAGCACATGCTTTTTCCCTTGGGGAGAAAATGAGAAAACAAACAGCTTCTGACAGCTGTTAGACACACCATTTCATGAAGTTTTGAAATGCCTGAGACAGCACACACAATGGTTACACTATGGTAACTAGACAAGAACAGAAGAAAGGCAGTGGGTAACTATAAAATATAAATTTAACGTTCTATTTTTTTCTAAAGAAAATCTGTGTACTCATTTAGAGGCTCTTTTTAGCATACTTAAAATTAAAATCAAATATTGTGTCACAAATGTGACGTTGAGAGAACTTTTGTCTTTACCTGAAGTCTCTGTCAACAGGGTTGGGCAAGACACTCTCCAAAACACTGCCCCTGTACTGCCAAACTACCACAAAAGTCCTACTTCATTCTTTCACACAGTCTGCAAACATGAGGACAGAACTAGTGTTGAGGCTGACCAACAGCAATCCCTGCTGAGATGAACCTAGAGAGGTCTAGGAAGCCATAGTAGCCATGCTTGGGGAGAGTAAAATTGCTGTGAGTTAGCTAAGCTTATCCATGCAGTACAGTAACTGATGAGTGAAAGATCAGGGTGCTAAACACACGAAACATTTTAACAGCACAGAAATTATTTTTTTCAGTGGAAAGTAGCTTATTTTAAGAAAAGGTGATATCTGGGAGAGCTATGGGGGAGCCTGTCTTGGTTACAGCATGTGACTCACTCTTCAGGGAAGAACTCCAGGGTACGGCTGCCAGAGGAGATCTGGCACATGGTGTGACTGCGACGCTGGCTGAACCCTGCTGTCGTCGGAGACTTGTAGTGGATGTTCACAGATGGGTAGGTCCTCTTTGCTGGTGGGGGACTTGAAGAGGAACTGAATAGACGGCTGAAGCTAGGGACAGGAAAAGGCCAACAAATATTAGAAACAGAACAGAGATTCACAACAGGGAAAGCACAATGCGTGCTACCAAGGTAGGTGCTTTAATGTACTTTAAGCCCTTCATGAAAACTGCACTTTTAGCTTCCAAAACCAAAGTCCTTCTGAAAACACCCCTTTATTCAAACTGATTCTGAGCGTACTTTGAGTTTCCATCCCAGGGCACTCACAAGCCCTTCCAGCTTGTAAAACAAAATGATAGGGATGTTCAGATCTGATTTTAATTTCACTAAAGGGCAAAGGAATCCCTTGAAGGCAAAAGGCTTCAGCTAAGAATAACTTTAGCTGACCTCTCATTGACATCAGAGGAAGAATCTATTAAGATGCTACATGAAGTAGAAATGACAACACTTGCCCTTTTCTTAATCTTACACAGACCACCAAAGAACTTACAACTGCCAGATGGTAGACTTCTTCTTCTCCTGGACGGATGGGTGCTCACGGGAAGCTCTAAGGATAAGTATAACAGAATCAAGTTAATTTCAGCACGTTTTGCCCAAATTTCTGCCAACCAGCAGGCCATTTCCATTAAGGAAACCATGCCAAAACTCAGAATTCATTCTAGAAACTTTCTAACAATGTTTAAAACGCAGAGGAATTGACATGCAGTCATTTTTATGAAAGCACACCCAGCTACTTTATATTTCAATACTAATATTTAGTGCAAATAAGAGTGTTCAATGATTTATCATAGAATCATAGAACATTTTGGCCTAAGGCCTCATCCAACATGGTCTTGAACACCTCCAAAGACAGGACATCCACAACTTCTCTGGGCAATCTCCTTTATTAACTCCCTCCAACAGTACCACTGCCACAGTATTAGTCTGGTAATTACAAACCCCAGCATCACATTCATTTTAAGCCACTGCCAAAGGAATTAATTAATTAGAAGTAACCCTGTTCCCTCTAGCTTCTAGCTTAATTAGCACACAAGAAACTAGCAAGACCAACAGCTGCCCGGTATCTCCAAATAACAGTGGCAACTCTTGATTTGCAGCCCACGTTCAGGAACATGAGAGAAAGAATCAGGTATTAGGACAGAAGAATTTATTGTTTGGAAAACTTTCAGAACTTCTCCCATATCTTGGTAAGAGCTTCAAGGCTAAAAGCTTGAAGTCCAACATGGCCAGGTTTTGCCCTAAATGGGAATGTTCACCAATATCCAGCCTCACCTGATCATCTCTGTCCACCTGACAGCCTCCTGGAGCTCCATCAATCTCTCTTTGTATTGGTTGCGCTCCATCAGAACCCTTGCCATTTCTACGCGGGTGAAGCGACGTCGCTGAGCTATGGGAATGTTGTCCTGCAGAGGGGAGGAGCACTGCTTCAGCCAACAAAAGATGGAAGGGGATTGATGTTAGTATAGGGCAAGTCAGGAGATGTAAAGAAATACTTGTTAGTGCTCTTCCTTGTTTGCTTGATTATCCCCTCCTGTCTTTCCCATTTCAGGTGCTAATTCTAGACAAGTGATCTCCAAACCATGGCCCACGGACCTCTGGGTGTTCTGAAAACCCATCGAAAGTAGATTTAGAATCATCACCAAACTGAAAGCCCTACCCAAGGACTACTGACATTAAGGTGTTTTGGTAATCTGCAAGGGATTTTGAGAACTGACAGTGGTCCCTTGGTCCATAAAGTTTGGAAAACAAGGATTTAGTGAAAAAGATTCAGTAGCACATTCAGTTAGCAGCAGCAGGGAACACCAGGTTATGTTCTCTTTCCCTTCACGAGGACTAGGAAGAAGGCATTTTGTTAGTACACACTGATAAAGGTACAGGGCACAAGAAATTACAGAAAGGCTTTTCCTTTTTGGTGACACAATTTAGCCTTCCAGCGAAGGCACGTGTCACTCTGGCTTAGAAGGCAACAGCAAAGAGATTCTAAATGCCTCTTCTAAGGAGTGGAAAATAAGACTACTAAAGTGGGTAAAGTATCTGCCCCAAAAGAAATTCTAACAATTTTGGGAACTCTCTACTGTAAGTGGCACTGGGTTGTGTCTAAACTGGCAACTCCCAGTCACAGCTTGGTTGATGCAGTAGTGCAGAGAGCTGGACTAACACAAACTAACTAAATCCCTCCTCAACCTCCCTGGACTTGGAATAAACCTGTATGGCCACTTAAATCAAGAATTATACACATGAAGAGGAATTTTACAAACATCATCTCATTAAAAAATATAAATAAACAAACCTCCTATCAGCTTGTATTAAATAGAATCCAGTTCTCTTCAGTATTTCACAAGAACAACTTGAAAACTTTACTACCTACCTAAATTATCAACAGACTAATTGCATCCCAGTTAAGTCAGGAGAGTTAGACTAAAATCAAACTTTGTTCAATACCTCCTGGACAGGAAGAACATGGTAATATTGAAAAGAGGTGTATCTAATTTCCTGTCCTAGCAAAGGAGACAATTACAGGGGATCTCTCTCTTGCCCTCTGGTTTGCTTCTTTTTTGGCTACAGTGGAGTTTGCTGAAAAGCCTCTATCTCAGCCAAAACAGCCTAAACAGCTGTCATGAGCCTTCTCTGCCTGTACTCTGAAATAGGCAGTACTGGCTTATATATACAAAATAATGAGGAAAAACAATTTGCAAGACTGGAGATTACAGAACTGTTAAAAGAAGACAGTTACTGCTGCAAAGCTGCCTATAAAACCCAAGTTTCACTGCACAAAGTCCTCACAGTTTACAGCTTCCCTGCCAACATGACATAAGGTCTTCTCAAAAAGGCTGACTATCACAAGACCCTGTGAGAAAATACTAGACTGTCATTCAAAAGTGATGAAAACCAGGTAAAACGGGAAGGTGCTGAGCAGGGTGTTGCTCAAAAACTGTTCTGCTGAAAGCACACCGTGCACTTTATTGTCACTGTGTCAGCTGTTCATCTTTGCCAGTCTACAGTTTGCAAGTCGTATGGAAAGGTAATCTCATAGCAACAACCTGCAGTTCACCAGCTTTGCCCTCATTGTTAACAAAGAGGGATCAGTCTGCATCTCAGGTATCACACATGAATAGAGTAGTAGTACATAAACCCCCTTTCCCCACAGCCATTTTAGTAATGTAATATACCAATTCTGTACAGAGATAGCTGCTTACATCCTCCACCTCCTCTTTGGGTTCTCGTCGTGCAACAATCGCTTCAGATTTCACTCTAGGAAACAGGAAGAAATGATCAAACCAGCAAGTAACACTGTGACTACAACTGGTGGGCTCTCTGTGAGGTGTTTTGGGGAAAGAATCATCTGTTCACAATGAGAAATCATGTGGAGGGAGAACTGGATGCATCACAAAGCACCCATTCTGAGATGCTTCTCTGATATGATTCCTCCCCCTTGCAGCTTGTTACTCTGAACAGCTCCATTGACATCAGCCCCTTTCTTTGGAACACTTGATTTAAGCACCAGGCCCCAAAACACTGACCACCAGAACAGAACTGTCAATTGCTATTTCCGAACCATAATCTATATTGAAATGTTTGATGAGACCTTAATCACGTAAAACTGAGCCATCATAACAGCTAATGCTAGCTTAAGCTCGTCTAGGCTGCTTTTCTTTTCAGTGCAGTGAAAAAGCCTCTAATATGAAGATCAGTTTGCCATAATGGTAAAGAAGAGAACACCAAATATGTTAATAAACTATTTAAAGTATTTATCTGAATGTTTTTAATTACTTTAAACCCCATACCGAGGTTCAGTCCCATTTGAATTACAAGAACTTCTATTAGCAAGAAAGACAGTGTGGAAATGCCATCTCTATCTCCTAAAAAAAGCACGCTGGACAGTTAAAAGTCCATGTCCATACTGCATAATATATTACATACATTATGAGAGATTCAAAAAGGCATTTTCAAAAAAATCCGATCTACTTCCACTGCTAGTGAGATTGCCTTCACTTCAAACATTTTGAAGAGACCAGTCTGTGTTATTCTTAGTGACTCCGTGCTCAAATTACAAAATAACAGAGATAACCTTCCACATTCCAGATGCAAACTAAGCACTGTCCACTGAATCTGAGATACCACAGTGCTGATAGTACAGCTAGTTAAAATGTAATTATTTATCTTTGAGCCCCATGGGGCATGCATAGCCTTATGGATATGAAATCTTCACAGGCTTTGCTAGGCATACAGGCTGAGGTTTCTCTAGTTCGAGTGGAAAATGAGAAATGGTATGTCTCCAAATGCTACCTGCATAGGGCTCTAAAATCTCTTCTCCCTCTTCTTACTTTTGACTTGAACACTGAAACAATTAAATACTGACATTTAATCATTGTTTGTGGGAATCTGCATGCGCTCTTTCATTAAATTAATGGGCATTCATCCCTCTCAAAACTGTCTTGGCCACTGCCAGCATCGAACTTTTAACAGTTTCCTTCAAAACAACTGTTTGAGAAATTCCTTTAAAAAAAAATAAAATATTGCAAATTGAAATTATGAACGCTGCCGTCTGGGGAGCCTACATTTGCAATCACTGCGATGGAATCCTAATGTTGGGGAGAAAATTCTGCAGGTTTTCTAAGGTTCAATAATCTTTCAAACCAATAAAAAAACAATCTAAAAACATTAGAAATAGCTCAGCCGCATGCCATAAACCTTGAAATGCTCTGTAAGGTACCTTTGAATTCCAATACTAGTGTCCATGAGAGAAATACAGTAAAACTAAAAGAGCAGGTAGATTTACCTCTACCTGACGATAGAGCTCAGGTTCTCCCAGTTCCCTGGGGCAGCAGTGAATCACTCACCTTTTCAGCTCTTCCTCCAACTCTTTGACTCTGGTTTCCATTTTGGCTTTGGCCTGCTTTGTTGCCTCAAGTTCTCCCTTCAGCACCTCTTGCTCTCCAGACAGCTGGTCCACCTTGGCAATCAAATCATTCTTCACAACGTTCAAAGCATTTCTTAAAGGTGTGAAAGGGACAATAAGCAAAAATGCCCAAAAACAGCAGCCGTCCATAAGAGAGACTTGAAACTAAACTCACAGGCACTACAAGGAGAGTTGAAATGAGCACATTGAAATAACTGTCAGTCTATAAGTCACGAAAAAGCACATTCTGGCAACAAAGAGGTGCAGAAGAAAACAGAAGTCACCATAGTTGGTCATGATGAGGTTTGTTTTGTCCTGCATTCTGACTGACAGACCAACATCAGGTGCAGGAGGTTCAAGTCTATTTTAATAGGATTGAGATTCAAAAAACACCTTTCAGAACTTATATTATCTGTAGTTGTTGATAACTGTGAGTGAAGGTGACACACTGACACACATAAGCACTTCTGATCAATTCTGAAATATCTTTAAAATTAGCAGCTTCCCGCCATAATTCAACTGTTACCCTTAGGATTACTTTGGCTTCCTCTCCCCTGTTGCTTAGCTTCTTTATTATCTAGTTTGCCAACCTTTCGCACAGGATAAACCAATTACATTGTCTAGCTTGTCTTTATCAACTATTAAATCTCTGAAAATTCTTCTCAACAGTAAGAAAGTTTTCTTTTGAAAATACCAAACCTTGCAAATAATAACTTAAAAACTGCAATATCCTCACAGAGGCCCAGACCCATCTAGACTCCCACTGAAGTTAATGAAATGCTTGCCACTGATTTCACAGGTGGAATCAGACTCTACAGGCACATGTCCAGAGACATCGCCCAAGTGCCTGCAAGAAAGAAAACAGCTACGAAAGTCACTCAGAAGAGGAACTTCTCTTCTGCAATTCAAGATACAACACGTATTCAAGAGAGCCTACTAGATAAACAAGCAAGCCCCAGTGAGGCTGGGGTTCTCGCCAAGACCTACTTCAGGATGATACCTCATTTATAACCAGGCAGGCAGTTCAGAGCATGCAACAGTTCCTTACTTGGTCTCCAGTAGCTGCGAGTTTTCCAACAGCAAATTCCCCACTTCTTTGCCCATTCCTGAAAAATAAATAAATAAATAAATAAAATAAATAAATAAAATGGTCAGGCAGGTTTCATCTGCTTTCCTAGAAATATGAAGCTTGTATGGCACTGACTGTCGCAGACTTGAGGAAGAACATTTGTTTTTGTTAGGCTTTCCTACACTTCTGTGTCCTGCTATAGAGAGTGGAGTGCCTCTTGCTGGAAGACCATGCAGCACAAAGATACCCACATGTCCTTCAGCTAACAGGAAAAATGCACACCTAGCTTCTTACCTCAACTTTAACAGAATCCCCAGAGAGGGAGAGAGCAGAGACCTTCACTAGTACTAGTTAGGGGAAATTAAGTCAATAACTCCTGCTACAGCCATGAGCTATTACAAACATTTTGTTCACTCATACAGGAGAAAGCTAGAAGCTCATGGGTTCTTCAGAGCACAGCAGAACACTGCCCAAACTGCTGGCCAGATCTGCACAGCAGTGCTCTTCTTCCTGTCTTAGTTAAGTCAAACATCCTGCTTCCCAGAACAGATTTGGGATCATGGATGTGGCCGGTCTGATACACATGAAAGGCTTCCCATTATCAACCTTCCACCACTACACTTTTAAAAGGACTTTGAATTGTTCACTGCTCCACTATTTAACAGTTCTCCCATAAGTGTTTACAATTTGGAGTCTCAGGCCCATCACTAAAGAACCACATTCAAGAAAGCACCTAGATCAGATGCACTGCACTTCCACTTGGGCACGAATGTACAATAGCTGCAACGTGCAGGTTAGGTTCAAAGGACTTTGAAAAGTCTGCAGCTAAGAGCAAAGATTGAATTCAATATTTTGTAAAACCTAACAGAAAAGAATTTAGGGACCAAAACCATAACTGGACTGTTTACTGCTACCGGGGACTTGCCAAATCCCAGAATCAGCTTCTATTTTACAATAGGAAACAGAAGCTACCTGAGCATATAAGACACAAAGACCTCTTCCTTTCAGGGGACAGTGCTGAGGGTTACAGCTTATTTCTCAACACAAGTTCTAGAGCATTAAGAGGTATCACAACAATCAGTGTTTGTGCTGAAGTGTTCCTTGTTCAGCCTTCTGAACTACCTCTTCCTTTCCAGTAAAGGCATCAGCATTTTTCACAACTGTTATTTGCTCATTAATATTTACAATAAAAGAAAAACAACAAACTTTAAGTAAATGGAAGTTAGAGAAACATGGAAGCATACAAGAAGTGAGAACACATCACAACACCCCAACAAACAGATCCTCCTCCCACAGTTAGATGGGATGAATTTATGATGGCAAAAGCAAATTCCTAGCAGGAATGAGTAAAAAGCAGCATTTTATTTTTTTTTTTTTTTTAATCAGTGGACAGATAATTAATCACTTTGATGTTTCAGGCAATATGTTCTTTGGATAGTGTGTCAAGCAATATCACAAACAAGATGTGGCATGCAGTAACTGCACTGTGAACTGAAGTGCATTTTTGGTTTGGTACAGTAAGGTATAGCCTTTTCTTTCACGACATTTATGTTGTTCAGAAAATCCAGAGGTCACAGGATATAGACAACATTTATTAAATGTTTCTCTCATTCCTTTTTAGCAAATGATCAAACAAATATTTAGCCAGTTAGACATTAAAATGGTACAAAGATGTTATGGGTGCTGAGGAACATAAGAGGAAAGCATTCCTCCTTGTATTTGGTGGGTTTTTTTGACTGTTTTCCTTCTCTTCATGAGTTAGTTATCACTCCTTGGGTCTGTCACAGGGAGAGAAAGGAATTCTGGTGAAGAGGGTGAGCTCTTATCAGAGAACTGAAGTCACACAGTGCCCCAGCCATCAGTGCCTTCACAACTACCTATTTTGTGTGACACAGTCACAGCCTGATGCTTTAACCAGGGAGAGGTATGAAGGGCTTGCTTCGCAATAAAGAAATGGGTGAAGCCATCCCACGGCCACAGAGTGGATACTATGAGATAACTTCATGCAGGCTGTAATGAGAAAGCCTTACTCATGGGGAAAAAACACCACTGTGGAGTGACCAAAAGGAGAAGTCTTTACTCCTTTGTGATGTGGAGAAAAGGGGAGAGCCATTCCACATTCTTAGAGTCAGACAAACAGTGTGAAGCATCAAAGTGGGTAATCAACCACATCAAGAAAAAGAAGAGAAACCTCAAATCACCACTGTGGACCAGCTGCGTCCTGCTTTTTGGAGAGGTGATACCACCATCACAAAAAAATAATGCAAGGTAATGCAAGACACATGGAGAGATGTTGGGTGAATGGAAGAAATTTAGAAATAAAAATACAGTTAAAAAAAAAAAAAAAGAAAAAAGAAAAAAGGCCTTCGCCTTACCAAAGAAATCATCCCGTACTATGAGAGCCATCCCATACGAGAAAGGGAACAGAAAGATATGGGGACAAAGGGAGGAAAGGAAGAGAAAAAAGCAGCCATTAAATACGAATCTGTAAACAGCAAACAGAGCAGCTCATCAGCATGTGTAAACGTGTGTGGTGCCAGTGTAAGTGATGCTGAATATAAACTAGTCTACACCTTGTTCTTCTGCAGCATAGCCTAAGCAGTTTTACACCTGAGATTTTAGGACAAGCTCAAGATGAACTCATTTTTTTCTTCCATCTTAGTAATTTCCCCTGGACTAAACATCTTCAGGTTTCCCATCCCCACAACAGAGGTAATTCAACATATATTACAAATAGGATGCAGGAAGGATAGGGGCAGGAGGGGAAAAAAAAGAAAAGGGGAGGGGGGATATCAAAGCTCTGTCCTTTTTGACAGGGCCAAACCCACTTTGTTACTGAGATAAATTCTAACTCAACTTCAGTGTGATGCTTTCTGAGGAAAAAAATAGAAAAAGTGGCTTACAGTAAAAGAGTAAAAGCAATTCATACTAAAAGAAAGAATAATGCCATTCTTCTTTTTGTAACCTTACAGACCCAACATCAAGAGGTATTGTGCAGAGGAACATGACAGCTCAACACTGCACAGTATTCTGTGTTGTATGTTCATAAGTCACCTGCCTTTATTGTAGGGAAGCTTCATTCAATTTGTACTGAAATCACGAGAGATCCCATTGACTTCATCTGAAATTTTATCAGGGCCCAACTTCATTTTATGGAAAGGTTAAAACTCTGCAAGTCTAGGGCCTGCTGACCTCCTGATGATAAGAGCATGGCTCTAATGCAGCAAACCGTCTTTACAAAAATGAAAGAGAGAGATCACTTCAACTCCAGAAATGCAAAGCTTAAAAAAAAAAAAAAAAAAGACAGAGGCTCTGTCACTCTCTTATCCCTCAAGTAAGTCTTTGTTTTCATAACAGCCGTGTCAGAAGAGGGCCAGTGTGCATACATTATGAGAGATTCAAAAAGGCATTTTCAAAAAATATCTGCTTCCACTGCTGGTGAGATTACTGCTAGTGAGCGGCCTTCATCCAAGCAGAGGGACTCCTCACAGCCTTGTTCACTTGAAGAAAAGCAGGAAGCAAACTTAATTCTGTACCCACTTGAGCTCTGCTCAGAGCACAGCACTCGTGCAGAAAAAAGGCACTTTGCACCCCAAAAAAAAGGACAGCAGAGTTTTCTGAAGACCGTGAGAGACAGGCCAGTGTAATATAGTGGAGCAAACCTGCAGAAAGCCACACCAAAAAAAAGCAGATCAAAATGCAGCAGGCGTGTGAGCACAAAGCAGGGGTGTCCTACTGTCCAGAGACCTGTCAGTGCAAGGAACCAAGCAAGGCAAAGGTGGGAGAAAGTCTGCGAAGCCAACCGTGATTGGACAAGAGCAGGGGAGTATCACACGTGTATACCATGTCATTCAGTCTCAACAAGAAAAAAAGAAACAAGAAAGGAAACTGAGTGGAGGAGAGATACACACCTGAGAACTCCCCTATGGGCCATGTCCAGCGAAGCACAGAGAGACAAGGGAAAAAAGGAAGTGAAAAAATGATCAATCACTGACTAAAACCAACAAAAGAAAAAATTTGTTTTAAAAAAAAAAATTGACAATGATTCAGCCATTTCAATGTCAAAAGGCATGAAATAGTAAGGACAGGACCTGCCATGTCTGTAGATGGCATGACTCTACATACAGGACAAAAATCTAAGGGAAGATAACCCAGGGTACAACTGCAACCACATGCCTTAGCTACCCACAGTTTTCTACGCATGAATTCTCAGGCAATCCCATATTGGTCTGGGTAAACCTTTATTTTCTCTCTAATATAGTAGTAAATGCAGAACAGCTATTTTCCACTGCCTTCTCCTTTCCCCTCCCCTTGCAATACATCTATTTTTAGCAACCAGATTTGCTGAAATTAAATGTGCACTTCAGTGATCCATCAGTACGCAAAAGACAATCAGTTTTATTTCAGAACACCTTTTTTTCCCCCAGTGCAGTGCAAGGACTTGGTTTGATAATCTCAACTTTTGTTTAAAAGAACATATTAGTGGTAAGTTTACATATATATATATAGCTGAATTTCCGTCTTCACCTCAAAATCCCTGTTATTTGAAGTGAGGTTTTAATCTCCAAAGCACAGTTGGAGTCCTAAAACTGAAAGGACTTCACACGGTCCACAACTGAACCACTAGTCCTCTTCCACATCCAGAGTCTCTCGGGACAGTGAAAAGCAAGGGAAGAGTACATGAGAAAAGAGAGTGAGCCCACCCAGGATTGGTAGGAAAGAACAAGCAACTAACAAGTGAGCAGGGAGGCAAACAGCCAACTAGGTGGTGGCAGCGTTCCTAAGGCTGCAGGGAGAAAGAAGGGAATTAGGAGAACAATTACCACTGCTAAATAATTGTTCTTGTTCCACATATTACTCCAGAATATACCCTATACAAACTAATGTGTGTACAATGGTATTACAACATGGGGAAAAAAACAGGTTTTGTATTCCAAAATTGCAATGAGGAGTGCTGCTTTTGTACGAAGAGATCAGAAGTAGTTTAGAAGATATTCCGAAGGAAAAGAGTGAGATTTTCCACTGAAGAAACAGACCTGTCTGCCAGCTATTGTTCAAGGGTAATTTTTCCAAGATCATTCTACTCTGAGGGCCTCTTTAAAGATGTTTCTCCTTCTTTAAGAAACTGAGTCAAAAAGGAAAGAATATTCTTGAAGGCTGATTTCCAAGCTTTGAGGAAGACTAGAGGAAGAATGAAATTTTCACTTTTAAGTGTAAATGAAGTTTACCAATTCTCTAAATAAGACCCAGAAAGAAAGAAATCTTTCAGATCGCGGACCTTGTTTCTTATATCATGTCCATAGAGCACAATTTCGTCTGTGGCTCTTCAGGCAAAAAGTTACAGAAAAGGGAACAATTTACCTAACAAGAATGGCAAAGTTTTGTATAATGTTGACAAATCTGTCAGTACTGAGATCTAGACTTTTTCCCTCCAATTTTATGAGACATTCTTGGTGCTTTCTACTGTGAAAAGACAAAAAAAAAAAAAAAAAAGTGTTTAAATCTCATTTCTAAGTCAGAGAAATACAGCCTCTTGGATCTCTCTGCCTTCCTTCCTTTATACAATCCTAGCAGCATGTCTGATGTCTGTTCATTTCAAAGAAAACTTTCATATGGGCAAAGATGGTAGCCAGAACTCAACAAAAGGAGTAATTAGATTTACATTTCTGTCACGAAATTCACTCAGCGAACTGATTTCATCACATATCACCTCCCAGGTCTGGAAAGGAACTGGATGAAGCCTTCCTATTCTGTTAGCATGCCATGCTATCAGCTGCAAGAGTTTTGCTGCCCTGCAGAAAAAAACTACTCCTAATAATAATAGCATTATCCAGGAAACAAACCTTTATTTTTGTGCTTAATGAAGAGAGAACAAGAAATTTCTATTTCCTTAGCAAAAGAAATGTGAATATTAAGCAATCCTTTTTTTTTTTTTTTTCCACATGTATTTGGTAAGGTGAAAAAGGACAAAACTTTAGAATCACAGATATATTTGGGTTGGAAGGGTCCTTAAATATCATCTAGTTCCAACCCCTGTGCCATGGTACGCCATCCACTAGACCAGGTTGCTGCAAGCCGTACCCAGCCTGGTCTTGAGCATTTCCAGGGATGGGACATCCACAACTCCTGTGGGCAACCTGTTCTAGTGCCTGACCACAATGACTAAAGAATTCCTTTCTATGGAATAACATTATTCTTAAATTTAAAAATTAGCTCTGTACATATTCATGGTTCAGATTTTAGGTGGAAACAAATCTGATCTTCACAAGCCATACTTACATAGGCAGTGTTCAAAGTTTCTGTACGCTGTTTATTATACAAGTGTTAACTGCCAAATAACTGATGACCCAAGATCCGGAATCAGTCATTGATCTTTAGGCAGTCTTACTAGTGGAAGAGAAGAAGCACCTTTGACTAACTGGAAATGTAGTGATATAACTAGCATGGTCTCCAATTGGGCAACTAAAAACTTTGGCCCTTTGAAAACAACAGCCTGTATTTCTCACTGATCACTGGGTTCAGGATGTAAGCCAACTGGGAAGTGGATTACCAGACGACAAATTTCCAGAAGTAGGAAGCAGGTTGTCCCAAGCAGTTGATACAGTTAGTCATTTTCCTGAAAAATATCTCTTAGAAGTTGACACTCCCTGAAGTCACAGCCATTTCAGGGAGAGGTAGAAAGCAGCAGGTGGCACCGAGGATATACGTGATTTAGTGGAGTGATTTGTTTTAGTCATCACTCCATGCACAAGAGCTATCTTGCATGCTGCAGAGCTTACACCATGCTTCTAAAAAAATAAAAATCTAGCTATATCATATAGCTATTGCAAGAGTTCTGATAAGAGCCTGGATCTCATTTTTAAATTCCAGTCACATATTTGCCTACAACAGTACCACTTTCAGAGATTTTGTCTTAGATAAAGCAAGAAGTGTTATGCTAACCTAACTTTTCAGTCTTCAGTCCTCTTCTTCATAGTTAAGTCTACAGTGAATAGGTTAAATTCGATCCTCTCTGCAGAAACACACTCTTTCAGAGGGTCATAATACAAGATTCATTCAAAGGTGATACAAATATCTCCCTAATTTAAGTCTTACAAAGATGTGCTGCTGGAATTCTGTGACATGATTCAACTGATTCTGTTCTAGATATATATCCCGAAGTTCTTTGATAAAAACTGTTTTTCCAGAACCAAAGTAGTAAGATTATCCAAACACTCTGGTCAGTAACTACCAGGAAGATAACATTCACTTTCAGATCATATCTCTTGCTATTCAAAGCATAAATGACATACTGTAGGAGTCCTCATGTCTCTTAGGTCTCTTTAAGTGAAACAGCAAAATTGAAAGTGAGCTAAACTGTTATAAACTTTGTCAGGTGCTTGCGCTGTCTGGATATTCAAAGACCATTCATATCTTCCTGATTCAGAAAAATATTCAGAAGGAATTAAGAATATGCTTAAATTTTGTCATGAATTAAGGTCTACACACTCAGCATCCAACGCCAGAAAGTATGCCAAGGGCTCAGACTGCTACCTGAGACACAGCTGTTCCTCTGACTGCCTCAAAGTCCTAGTCGGGAATACAGAATATAACCAGACTTCAGATATTAAAACCTCCTTCAAAATTAGCCTAAAAGATGAATTAAAATTTCTCTTAGATTGACTATAAAAGGGTAAAAACTGCAATATAGACCATGATATTCTCATTTTAAAATAAAGAAAGTCCATAGAATCATAGAATATCCTGAGTTGGAAGGGACCCATAAGGATCATCAAGTCCAACTCCTGACACCGCACAGGTCTGCCCAAAAGTTTAGACCATGTGACTAAGTGCACAGTCCAATCACTTCTTAAATTCAGACAATTGTTCCTTTAAATTTCAAAAACTTAACAAAAGGAGTTACTTTCTTGCATATTTCAAACAAAACCTTTATTCCAAGTGAAGTTGCTAGTGTGCAAAATTATTGAAGTGAAAATTTAGGGGAGGAAGTGGAAGGAGCAAATTTTCTCTCCAAACTGTTCATGTGGGAGAATCCTATGGAGAAAAAAACACACCTACAGACAGACTAAATAAAAGTTACTTAGATACTAACTTAAATTGTTGGATAAGCATTACTGTACTACAGGTACATATTTCAGGCACAGTATGTCCCAAATTCCATGCCATTCCATGCTAAGGACAAACATCCAAGTCCCCCCCAAAAAAACAAGAGAATTTAAATGCTTCTAGAAGCTTAATAGAATTGTCATTGTATCAGAGAAAACAGAACGGTTCTAACAAGTTTTTACCTAGCAGATCTGCTCCTTCATCAACATCCCCAATAACCTCGGACCCTGCTGTGGAAAGTTCATGATACAGAGAGTCCGTGTTGATGCCGAATGCTTTGTTCACAATCCCCTGTGTTGGGCTGTTGTTGGAAGAAGAAAAAGTAAGGACACTTGTTAGTTGACAACATTTGAGCTATCACATAACTCTGAAATACTGAGCATTACAGAACATTGAAGTCAAATCTCTGAGAGTACATTCTGCCTGTTCACCACAGGCTGACACAGGGAAATTAGTAAGTAAAGAAAAAAAACATATTTTATTTCCTATATCAAGTACAAGTACCTACCATGCACAACCTCAAAGCTTGCCTGGTTGATTTCTTTTTACATCATACGAGTTGATGACAACTCAGTATCTCACAGAAACCTTTCAATTCACAGCAGCTCTCAATTCTGACTTTTAACACTGTGCAATGGTTCCCACACTCCTATCAACTTCAGAGCAACCTTCAAAGCAGGTAAGATAAGCAGATCAGCTAAGGACTCAGATGCTGAAAACAGCAATGGTCTTTTTTCTTTGCCAACTAGTAAGTGAAATCAGCCTGAAGGTTAGTTTCTTCTTTGGGTTCTAAGTGCACAAATGCTTCTTCCTATGTCAGCAAAATGTATTTCGTTAAAGGTAAATCAAAGTTAATGTTATCTAATCACATCATATGGGAGTGCATTTCCACATCTTACTGTCTTCTCTACCAAGAATCTTCTCATATTCTTTGACAATCTCACGGCTTAAACAGAATACAACTGTTGCAGAAAGACACAGTAAGCAGGAGCGAGGCATCCTCTAAGATTGTCAGTGCTTACTACAAAAAACGGGATTAAAGTGGGTATAGACACGTCTAAGTGCCCTGCCTTGTACAAGAGGAGTCAGCCAATATGTAGTGAGGCTGCACAATTTTTCCAGCAGTCTAACATAAAGGTTACCAGTGGATATTACCAGTGGATATTACCTCAAGTCATGTGGCTTTGTTCTTAACTAAATCAAGTCTCTGTGATCAAACATGGAGATTACAGATGTGTTGTGTTAGCTGTCTCTGATATTTGAGAGGTAAAACACAATGCAGATAAAAGGAAAAAAATAGAAGTTTTAATTACAGAGCTACCCAGGAATCTCAGAACACTGAGGAATTACAAAGTTGATGCAGTCTAATAGACAGTACAAGCAAAAAGAAGCGAACAGCATTCAAGGTCTGACTTGAAGACATAATTCAGCTTCAGCACTCCACTTTCTGAAGCAATACATCTCTCAAAAGGATTCAATTTTTAAAGCAGCAAGCCCACAATTCAGCAGCTCCAGAGTTATCTTGTGTCTCCTCTGGTTTTCTGCCTCTCTACGAGGATCAAAGATCAATCTGCATGAAGAGCTTCCAGTGCAGCAATACTCTCCACTCCTTTCTTTTCTTCACGTTCAGACCAATTATCAATCTGATCACATCAGTCACTTTTACTTGTTCTGGCTACCCAGATTCCTCCTGCTGCTGACCCTAAAAATTGTCCATGTACCCTACGTATTCTAAGGGGAACTTAATTGTGTTTCACAGGTGAGAAAGGCATCTGTTATTGCTGCTCACATGCACTTTTAGAGGACTAGAAGAGGGTGCTCAACAAGTGCAATCCAGTCCAGATTTGGTCTGTGAGATAATTTTGCCTTAACTTTATCAGCGTATTCTTTTCTGCATACCTGCAAGAGTTGGGGGGTTATTTTTGCTGGTGTCCTGCTAAATTACCCACTGGACCAGGGTAAAATTAATGAACTCCATAAAATTAATCTCTAGACCTTCATAAAAATGAAACAAGGAACCTAGACTTTGTTCATTCTAGGTTAATGACATCTCACAGAAACGTGGTGCCAAAATTAACAGCCTTTAGGGAGCCTCCCACTGAGCACAAAAAGGGTGCTAGACAGGAAGGGTATGAGCATAGGAGTTTGGTAAAAGTTCACTAATTCAGAGGATTCTGTCATGGTCCTGAGTGCACTGGTGGTCCAAAATTGCCCTGACCAGCCTCACCTTAGACCTGAACACAGCCACCTTCTGTCCACTAGTCCAAGGGCTCCCTTCAAGCTCAGGCCTGTGCCTACTGTCCTTATCTAACCTATGCTGTAGGTGTACTTGTCTTCAGTCCTGTGTCCTGCTGCTCCTGTGTCCCTGCACCTAATTCATCCCCTTCCTTTGTAGGGGGCTGCTTATGAAGCCCATTACCAGTGCCCTGCTCTGCTCTCCCTGCTCCAATCCTGCAGGATTGCACCACAGTCACTGCCCTGCTGGGGTCACTTTTGCTTGTCCTCCTTCACAGATCAGACCTGCTCCTCTTCCAACACTTTAAAAAAAAAAAAAAAAAAAAAAAAAAAAAACCTGAAAAAGTCCTGGGATTTTAAAACTGAATTCAGATCTGATCGCATTACATTAATGCATCTTTTTCCTTGCATTGAAAACTTACGCCTCTGTCCCCTTTGCCTGTTTAAATGTTTTGTTGCTACATTTCTCTGTGCTCCTTGATCCTGCAAGGCAAACTAACCTGTCTCAAACAAACCTCATTCAGTTTGCACAGATTGCACAGATCCTTCCACAGATTACTAGCTCATATTAGCCTTTCGTGGACAAATCAAAAATAATCAAGACCCCACACATTTGCACTAGGCAGAATATATGGATTTTCTCAAAAAGCTCCATCTTGAACTCTGAGAACCATGGCATCCATTCTTCACTCAGCACAAAACCAAGCTAAAGAGCAAACAGCAAAAAGTCACAATCTGTACCTGTTACCAGTGCGTTCCAGGCGGGGATCTTGACACATATCCAGTTCTGGTGTCGAATCTATGATGTCCTGAACATCGGACCACTCGTCACTGCTTCCCATACCTAAGGAAGACAATACATATGGTCTACAGTATCAGTGCTCCTTGAAGGCACTTTTTCAGCTTTGAATACCAAGGCTTCAAAACTTCATGGTTCAATGTACAAAGTGTTAAAATAGGAACAGAAAGTGGCTGATCACCTTGAGACAGAAATGCAATAGGACTGGGAAGGTGCCTTCATGATTCATTTTAAATTTTAAAAAATAAAAAAATATTTTTTATATAGCTTCACAGAGATTACTCTAGTTATGAATTGGCACTGGCTTATTTTAATAGAAATAATTTGTCAAGATGACTTCTCAAGTCTACAACCAGTTTAAATATCCATTACAGTGAATTTTTACTTCAAAAATGTGTTGTGCAACATATGAAATCATCTGTTTTCTGTATAATCTATAGCTTAAAGACAATATTTGAAGAACACAGGGAAAATAAGAAACTAACAAAAATAAGAAATTAAAAAAAAGAATCCTGTTGTCAAGTTACTCATATTAGAAACCAAAATGTTCAAAAACTCAGGCTTGCACCTATTCTAAAAAAAGCAATATAAATACAGTGTCTGTTTACACATAAAATTCCCGAAGTATTGAAGACCTCATATGTAAATTATATTAGTCCCTTAACTGTTAGACATGAAATCTTTAACCTTTCCAAACTTCCTCAGCAGCCAAATATACCAAGCCCATGACAACCTGAGTGTTGATTTTACTGTTTTAGGCTGGCATTGTGGACTTGCTGGCAAAAAATGTCATGTTGAAGACAAAGTCCAATGTGTATTTGTTGACAAACTAGGCATCCATACACAAATGGTTCCCCACCTCACAGAAACAGACGATTCCTTCTCTTTATTTTATAACCTTGGAAGCTTTTCTGCAAATCCCTTTTTTGTAGGTTCTGCTCTTAGACATCTGCATCACTGACAGACATTTTAATTACAGATGAAATACCTAATTAAAATTCAAGTATCTAAGTTTCTTCTCAGCATGGAGACATACTTCTGCATCACATGAGAAAAATCGTTGAAAGATTGAATATGCAGAGCACATAAGAAACATACACCTATCTGCTTTGAGCAGATTCCACAATATGATAATTTCAGCAAGAAAATTTAAACTTTTGTATACACATCCACTTTAGAGTTGCATGCATATAAAAGAGACCTGACTTGGACCCAAAAAAGCTATTGATGGTAAATGACCATATAAGCACCAGCTGTAATATTAAGGATAATTATTTATAGTGAACTTGAACTACTGCCCTCTGAACTCTGAGAAATACTGTAGGACAAACTTTTCTCTGAAGAAAATTCAAACTCATCACTCAAAGAAATTTCTCTTTTCTTGCATTTCTTGTTCTAGCTTATTCTTGTTAGGTACAATTCCTGGTTTCAGCCACCAAAGACATCCATACTCAATTTCTCTTTTAATAATGCTCATAATGACTTGCATTGGCCAGGATGCACCGGAAATACCAAGGAGGTTCTCCAGGAGAATACTATGGGAGGTTTAGGCTTGATATTAGGAAAAAATCCTTCACTGAAAGGGTTATGAAGTATTGGAAGAGGCTACCAAGGGATGTAGTTGATTGACCACTCATGGAGATCTTCAGAAAACATGTAGAGGTAGTGACATTGCTCAATGGTGGACTTGTTAGTACTAGGTTAAAGGTTGGCCCAGATGATCCTGGAGGTCTTTTCCAGACTAAATGATTCTATGATGCTAGCATCAAAACCCATTTTTTCATATGCTCCTGCACAGACTTTCCTGTTCATTTTACAGTCCCTTTGTATTTAAGCTCATGACCTGCAAAAACCAGACCACTACTCATTTCTGAAGATTGCTGCAAATCTAAATACAATAAAAGCTGGGAGGTGCTCAGACACTACATTGGTACAGCTATATTGAACAGCACTAAAAGTGGCTTTTAACATGTTATTACATCATCTTCTTTCTTTAAACAATCTGGTGCTAAAGGCGTAGGTGATGGCTTTCTTCACAAGAAATAATTAATTCAGTTTACTGAAGCACTCCAGGAAGTGGAAAGAAAACAAATGAAACTTCCAAAGATTTCTTGTATGAGAAACAGACTAAAAGAAAGCAGCTTATTTAGCTTAGAAAAGTGGCTAGATAGGGATATAATCACTATTCTGAAATACATAAAGCTGTAGGGTAAACACATGGAAGGGAAAATAATTAGTTAACCCAACTGATAATTTTGGTGTATGAACAACTGGATGTAAAATACTTGTGAATAAATCCAGAGAGAAAACTAAATGCAAGTTTTTAACTACCATACTGATGAGGTCCAGAAATATCGTTCCAAAAGCTCAGACTGAGATGGGACTTACCCGTTCCTGAAAGGCGTTCAATTACATGAATTAAAGCAACTGCAGGGAACTGAGCTCAGTAATCCATTGTCATCCTGTGTATTATTTGTGAAACTAGTTTTATTACTGACTTTTCAAAACTTGCAACTCAGAAAATAACTCACATCCAATTAGTGGTTTCTCTACATATCCTTCTAAGTAAGCTTGTCGCAAATTCTATACCTGTGAAGCTGATTACCCTTCAGTCTCCCAGACTCTTCTCGTAACAGACAGACACAAGCACTGTGAAGGCAATTACTTTAATGACAAATTAAGCAAGCTCCAGCTTCCATACCTATGCTGACATTCCTCATCTCCTGTGTAACCTGGACTTCCATGTTCCGACTGTTCCGCTTTTCTCGTGTCCTCTTGTTGCCCTTGGTTGTGCCATTGTATTCACTGATGGGTTGGATGCTCTCGTTCAGGGGCGTGACAGCAGCAGAGGGCACAGATGACGTAGGAGTGTTGGACTTGGTTCCTGTGGTGCTCGGTGTGGCAGCTGCCGAGGACTGCCCAGATTCAGACATTTCATCTTGGGGGCACTATAGAAATTCCAGGACAGGGAAAGAATAAAAAGGGAAAAGCACAGGTAGATATTTCAATTAATCTCCTATTTGCTGGAATATGGCTGCCTTAAAGTATTACGGAAAATGAGTCCTGCTCACTCTGCCAACTAAATGTCCATCATTCTCTGGTGACACATAGCACTGCAACCAAAATGAAGGAGTGAGTTCCCATGCTGAACTCAGGAAGCAAATCCTACCTGTGAAAGGACTGATATCCTTCTTCTTTTACCATTTAAGACAGGTCTTCACAAGTCTTATCAGTGTGTGACCTCTTCATCATGCACCTCAAGGAAGATAGCTTTATCATAACTGAAAAGCACCTGCAACTGCCACTGACTATTGTGGAAGCTGAAGGCCTTTGGCACTTGCAGTAAACTAGGCCAGTGTTTCCCAAGACTGGAAGGCAACATGGACTTTGCTTGGGAAAGATCCGAAGTGACCTCTTAGATGATCTGGAAGCTGTCATGACAGTAAGCAACTGAACTAACACAACCAGGATGAGAATCTCTAGTGTTGAGAAAATGCCAACATATTTTTGATGCCAGGCTACAGAAGCAAAGTGAATACCAAGCTGGGATAGTCTCACTTTATTAGTGGGGGAAGACCTATGTCCCCACACCACAATATGCGGAAGCTAGCCAAGCATGCCTTCAGCTTGACAACACAATAGGAACAGATGTGGGCTCCCCAGTTACAAATGACAAGACAGGATTCAGGAATTCAAAAATCAAAAGCTGACAAATCAACATAAGAGATGGATTTCCAGTGTGAAATGTACACAAATGGGTCTCAACTCTACAAACATTACAGCCCCATTCCTTGTTTAACACCTCTTGAAAAACACGGGAGACTTAAGGCTCTGTGAGGATTTTATTACTGTGCCTCTTGTTTGTCAATTAAAGCAGCACTGCTTCAAAATCAGCCAATTAATGTCTTAACCAATGCAGTGATCATTCCCAGAATCCAATGAGATCTCCCCATTCTTCACGGTAGCCTGCCCTAATTACTGCCTGCAGGGAGATGACAAAAGTAATTTTGAAAGCTATACGTGATAATGAATTGCAATTGAGTGCAGTGACATTCAGTATCTGCACACCCAGACTCAGCTATAATCTGTACGGCTTGCCTCTTCCCTCCTGTGCAACTACGAGAAAGATTCTGGCTCTGCTCAGAACCTGCTTCAAGGCCTCACAAACCTTGGAGCTGTGATGCTTCACTCATTTGTAAGTCTTGTTCTACTGTTCTAATAGTAACTGCACAACATGACAAAAAAAAAAATCAAATTCAAAATGGGATGAGAGAGATCTGAAATAAATTAACCCTTTGCAGCCTTTTTTTAAAAAAAAAAAAAATCTGGAATCTTATTAACATCTTCCTTTACAGACTGGCCTCTGTATGCTGATCTTAAAATAGCCTGCTATACATTGTACTGTAGAGGATTTACATTGCATTTGCACACTTGTATCAGAAATTAAGGTTTCTTAAAAAATATGCTACCATTGAATACTATCCATGTTTTGTTTAGTTTCTGCACTGTCGGTCTGAATAGCCCCCATATTCCCAAATGGTTGTTCAAATCGTCCCCCTGCACATTTGCTGACTTTACTGTCAAAACTGCGATTGAAACACTTTACTTAGGCTGCTACAGGTGCAAACCACACTTCCCACATGTACTTCGTATTCTTGTTTTGTGAGCTACTTTTCTAATATGTAAAGAAAATAATAGGAAACTTGTTTTTTAAGAAAAAAATATGATCCAGTAAGCCTTATAATACTTCAACTGCAATTTGCCTGTTGTGCTTTCTACTGTACAAAGGGACAAAGAGTACCAATTGTAAACTGTAATCATAAAACCTCTTCCCCCCCCTCCCCCCAAACAAAACTTCTTTTGGATGAATGGATTCAGAGATCTCCTTGTGTGCACTGTAAGTCTGTAAGCATAACCAAAGTCCTTGAGGATCTTAGCACTGTAAAAGAGACACCCATATGGGTCAACATGTCACTTCCTTGATCTTCGGAACTAGGTGTTGTTCAGAAATCCTACACCATTATTGTCTATGCATACACAGTGCTATTTATACTGGATATTTATCCTGTAACTTCTTGTTTGTTGACATAATCTTTCCCTTACCCAGAATACACCCAAGTGAGTAATTACCCTGGCCTTTCATTTATTTTTGGTTATACATCTGAATTTTATATTTATCTGAAGTATGTTCTTTATCAGCCTACCAGCCTGCCCTGGAGAAATTCATCTCAAACGTAAACACTACAAAGACACTCCTCTTCACAGTCCAGAAGGTCTATTAAACTTCACTGGTATCCTCCTTCTATTGTCCTGATTGCTCCATTAACGCTAAATATTCCACTAACTGTACAGGTCTCCTCTGCAGCCTAGGAGGCATTCTCCAGAACCCATAGCTCACACAAAGAATACTCTCCACAACCACCACTTACCTACAGCCATACCTGTCAACCTCCTAAACATCAAATGTGTAGTAGTGACCTCCAAAATGCATTGCAAAGGCCCAACATTCATAGCAGTCATATGTCACCATGAGTAGCCACAATTGTATGGTTATAACACTGAAAGCATAGTACATAAAAACAAAAACGTTAAGGACTTTCAACTCCAAATTATTATATAAAATAAATGTACAACTGAATCTAAAAGTAAAGTAATAAAAACAGCAGCTTAAACAGAAAATAGTAATAAAAAGTAGAAAAGGACACTTAAAACATAAGTACAGTATGGCCCCATGAAATAGAAAAACTAGTCAGAAGAGTCAGGATATACAGATTGGGAAGGTGAGTTACGTGTGTGCAGTCAATGTCAAGAAAATATCAAGAGCAGGTGAAGAGGCAAAGAGTGTACGAGCACTACTGCTGAGATTTCAGTCATGCAGAATAGTTGAGAAATAGCACTTCAGTCAGAGTAAGTAGCTTGCACAAGAAAAGTTCTGCATTCCAAATTGCAAATCTAGCAAGTCAGTTAATCACTCCCTTTAATTATTCACAGGTTTGTTCCATACTTTTAGGAAATCCACCATAACACATTAACCATCCAAGTCTTCCATAGCCCAAGCTCTCTATCTGCAAACTATCAGCTGTCCTCCTCAAGACCTGCTGATTTTTTTTAACAAGCACCAAAAAAAATCCCAGCACTACTCATCAGACACATGTAGTATCTGACTTCAGTAGCATAGTACTACCTCTGCGCAACGTTTTCCTGTAACCAGAAATTGACTTTTTGTCTGACGCCACCAAGAATAAATTACTAAATGATCAAAGCAGTAACCCTCCATTATCTGAACTTGGAAATCAAAGCTTACAATTTATTTGCATTCCTGTTGTATTCTCCTGCAATGGAGATACTGAGTTATCAATGAGATCCACTCAACTCTCACTAAAAAGCTTCCAGAAGCTCTGCAATGGCATGGCTTAAAGAATTATGCCTTCAGAAGTCTGGAAGGTGGATCTAACCCCAGCTTCCTACCAACTCTCCTCTAAAAACTTATCACTGCCACACACGCCTCATCACTAGAGAGCTCAAGAGCATGTCCATACCATAGTGTACAGCACTGACTGGAGACCCCAAGGAACAGACTCCTTCCAGAACTAGAAGTATGGTCTCTGTACATTTTGGTTGCTGCGTGCATCCCTGCAGCAGTGGTGTGTTGGCACAGCACTAGTCTGTCTGCAGTAACGCATTCATACCATATCTTCATTTCCTCATCCTTGATTATGCTATTGCTCCATGGCAATGCTACCTATTAATTATAGGCAAAGTCTTCAGAAATGACTGTAGGACCTAGCAAGCATTCTGCAAGTTGCTACATTTCCCAAGACTCTGTGCCTTTAACACTACAGCAAGGGTTAGGTTTCAAATCCTATCCAAAGATCTTGATTTTGGATTTCCAACTTCTGCAACAGCAGAGGCTTGACACAATGCTAAGCTCTGTGCTGTGCTGGGCCTGGCTACTTTCCATTGCCTGTGTCAAAAAAAAAAAAAAAGAAAAAAAAAAAGAAATGAAGTTGCTAAAGTTGCTGCTTCGTGTTCTATGTAATTGAATTTGTCAGAATTTCTTGAGCTATGCATCAAGGAGGCCACTTGGATGTAAACAGTGTAAGTCTAGAGCAATGGACTAGATGTGTGAGAAACTGAAGAGCTTGAAGCACAGTGCAGGACCTGGGCATACAGAGCTTTTAGTATCCCTTTTTACCAAACACAGGAAGGCCAGAACAGCGATAAGTCAAGAAGAACAAACAATTAAGAGCAAGTGCAACCCAGTCCCTGGCCCCAGCTGAGGTACAAAAGCACTGTTCTTATTGAGGGGGAGAGAAGGGTCAGGTTTCATCATTTCCTCTCCCAAATAAGACAAAAAAGGTGTAGGATTTATCTTCTCTAAATTACTAACTGCCTCCCCACACATTCCTTTCAGCTTCGGGCCAGCCAAGTAAAGGAGATTAACACTGGTGCAAGGAGTAAAAAGAAGCATGAGGAGCTATATTAAATCCCTCCCATACTTTATGCCAGATCTGTGAAAGGATATCCTCCCACCTACAGTACAGCTACCACCGGAGTAAATGCACAGCAGGAAGAGGCTGCAAAGGGTTATGGACACGGATTTATCTCCACCTTAATGAAAACATGGGATGCTATTGACAGTGGAAGAGTGGGAAACCCTTGCTCCGTGATGGTCTATAAAACCTTGTAGCTGGAGTTGGACTGCAGCTGGCCGAGGTCACTCAGGTGCCAGTGGTCCAGTGTTGGGACGATCTTGGCCCCTATCTGCCCACGTACCATGCCATCCGCGAGGGGGAAGACATTCAGAGAGTTAGGACGTTCCTTCCTGCTAAACAGAGAAACAGAGAGAGAGGGAAAGCCAATCTGTTAGCTGCTTACAAGGGTCTTACACAAAAGAAACAACACACCAGCTTATGTGAAATATTCATCATTAGAAACTGAGTCGCACTCCTCACTTAGCAGCTGTGTGGATTTCCAACCCCACACCTCCAAAGGGTTGTCTGTTCAGACCCAGGGTGTCTATTGGTAGAGCCATGAATCTTCCTGGGGAGAGTCTAAGAAGGCAGAGGCATTCAAATGACCAAAACAGGCAAAAACAACTTCACTATCAGTATAAAATATTGTGGGGAAATGGAAAATGCAGAGAACTGAGCTGATTTAAGCCAGTGTATCCTCTGAGAAATGGAGGTGCTGTGAGCTTCAGTAGACAACTCCCACAAAAAAAAAGAAAAAAAAAGAAGATCCCAAAGATTCTAGAGATGTCATCACTGAAACAGGAAAGAGGCTTAAGTGAGACATCTATGTGCCACTTTGCATATTCCACCCCAAATCTGATTTGCACCAACAGCAGAAATCAGTGGGTTTTGGATCACTTCAAATATTAAACAAGAAAAGTAATACTTGGACTCTCTGATCCCCTCTCCATATCCAATTATAGCTCACTGAAAATTCAGAATTTAAAGGAAGTTATAAATGAATTCATATGGCCAAATGTCTGTAACTGCATTCTCTTCAGCCCCCTCCTTTATTGCAAATGCAGGTGATTAGCTAGCTTGGATGTGATTCTGAATATACAAGCTGGTACACATTTTGAGACCAAGTTCTAGTGGGAAAAAACGTAGAACAATCAGTAGAGGTGGAAAAGGCTGAAACAGCATGCTGAAACCAGCATCCACGTTCATGCCGGAGGCGCAAGACTGTGGGGACAGACCACAGCTCCGCTTTGTGCATCGCCCCAGCAGCCTCTGCTAGCTGGACTAGTGGCCTTTGAGATGAACTGAGCCGATCCTGTGTGGCATTAACCCAAAAAGAGTTTAAGTGATGGTTTGTCACCTACTCCTGGATAGGACTATTCACACTTCACTGCAGGTTTCTGCTTTCTGGTGCAGAGAGTGATGAAATCTGCCATTCTGTACACCAGCATTAATAACAATAGACCTTTTATGTACCTTTCTTTAATGATACTCAGCACTGGTTTAAATTGCTATGCAAAAAATGTTTGGCTGTGCATAAAGTAGTCAGCTCAAACTGCCCAACTGCCAATGTTAAGGCTTGGAAATCAAAGAAGGAAGGTGTCTAATCAGCACTGACATTCCAGAAACAGGGTACCAGTGAGCATCTCCTCAAAAGACAGAGATGTGCCCCCCTTCCCCATCAGGCTCCAAGCCAACGCTGTGCAGTGGTGTTCCTGGACACAGAAATAATTTTTGCTAAGACTCAGTTAAGCCACCCCCACAACCACTTCATCACAGGGTGGGACTGGATGACTTCCAGAGCTCCCTTCCAACCCAGCCTGCTCTGTGATTGTGATCTGTGACTGTGGACAAAAGGACTGCAGCAGCACCTAAGGCCGCCCTAGGGCTTACTCACACACACTGACACAGGGGCTGGGGCACAAGACAGCTCATTTATGAAGAAAGAAAGTGAAATGTCTAACAGAATAGAAACGTGTGGAGAAAAATAGCCCAGCCTTTCCATTCTCAACAGCAGAGCATGCTGCTCCCTTGTGCCACTGCAGCTTCTGCTGAGGAGTAACTGCTTACCGTGGCCCATCTTGGGAGGGAAGAGAAGGAAGAAGGGTGTTTTCAGTGTGGTCCAGAAAGGATATTTGGGATGCACTTTTCCTAAGAATCTCCATTAACATTGTCTCCTGAAAATCCTAAAGGTTCATATACTGAAGTTTCATAGATAAACCCTCTTACAAAAGCAGCACATGTATGTGAATTTTAAAGGAACACAGATCACAGACGCTATCTGACTGTATTCACTTTTGCTTATAGAGAACACACTACTGCAGTTTGCCCAAATACTGATTTATCACCTCCATCCTGCCATTTACACCTGCTCCTAATAAGTCAGGATGCAAGATTTGTGACAAATCCCATTTACCTCTGAATGTCTTCCTGCATTTACCTCTCCTTATCCTACCTCTGACACTGAAACTCTTTCAACAGTTTCAAACAGCTGTTTTAAATTTATAAATAACATGCTAGGGAATTTTTTCCCCTAAAATGAAATATTCGCTCTGGCACTGTACCCGTGAAAAGTACCATCAATTATACACAAGAGATCGTTAAATGACTCAAAATTAAAAATTAGAGCTTTATGCCACAAAGACAAAATTCCTACTTTGACAGTTAAAGACATAACTTCCGAAGGGTCCCAAAGATTCTACCCTTTGTCAGTTAGAAAAAAATATATTTCAGGCCATTTTCTGAGCTGTTTTAACTATTAGTTTTTTATCTTCCTTCTTTCTTCAAGTTAGAAGGGTGGTCCTAAGGGATTCATTCTTCACAGCTGTATGTAATTGGAGAAAAGTCCCTAACGCTCTGAAACATTATTTAAAATAATTTATTTCTACAAAACAAGTGGTACAGTTAGACTATCTAACAATATGCTATAAACGCTTTTGTGATTAGAGTGGTATGTCCTAATGTGGCAACACCGCCATATAAGAAATACCAGCCATCCCAAACATGCTGACACAGATACTGAATTATACTTCCTCTTCAGGTAAGATTTATTAGATTTCTTTTGTGAGCCCACAGCTTATTTCTAGATTCTTATGAAAACACATTTAACATGCTAGGAAATGTAGCACCCCACTGAATGTACACTGATCATATGAACTTTATTATCCATGCTAAACAAAGAACAGAGGTATGAAGTCCCAGCAGCAGCAGAAGTTGTAGGATCTTCAGGAAGGTTGCATCAGTTCTAATGTAGACTGTTAGGAGAACTGCATTCCAAATTTCCTTTCTGAATTTTGTTGGAAACACTTTCCAGCCTCTTCTGCATCTCCCACAGAAGAGCAAACACTGCTAACTTAAGCTTTGCAGTACTGGGGCTGACTTTGTCAGTCTTCAAAGAAGTTTAGAGTATCCTCAAGGTTGGCATAAATTCTGAGTGCTCACTACAGCCCTTTGTGCCTTTACATACCTAAGCCTTTCTGGTACAGGGGGACTCAACACTTGGTTAGTTCCACTTCATGTTACAAGATAAACAGCAAACACCTCTATAGAGGTTTGCAGTAGCCAAAACCTGGGTGAGAATGCTCTTTCAGTAACATCCTACAGCTTATAAAACTTTACAAAACGAAGTTTGTCAACATTTAAAAATGAGAACTGCCCTCTTTGTAGGCTAAGGGGGCACAGAACTCACTGCCTAGCCCAAAGTCAGATGTGCTTTCTGAGAGTTACTGATGACATACATTTTCTGCCCTGCTTAGAACATATGCGTATTTTGTACTCTTTCAATAAAATAAGGGAGAAAATAAAGCTTTATTAAGTTCTGGGAAGTGAAGTGTGAATATCCAATCGCACAAGGCTGATCCTGTTTTGGTACAAGCTTCTTCCTGATGTGGCAGCTTGTTGCCCTCCCTTTGCATCAGTTAAGGGAAGTGGCACACGTGAGCAAGTCTAATGCAAATGTCAGTAAACAAAGAGGGCAAACAGGCCAGAACAGTACATTTCCAGCACCACACCACTGCCACTCAACTGCAACCTCCAAAACCACGATTAACAAAATTAAGGTGCAACAATAGAATTTACCTTTTCCTCCATGACTGGCGATGACTGCAGTGACAAACATAACAGCCAAAACACAGCAGCAATCACACAAAAAGCAAGACAAAAAGAAAGAAAGAAAGAAAAACAACTATTAGAGAACAAAGGTCATGCAAACATGCAGCCCTACGAGAGACAGTGTAAAGAGACAGTGTATGCATGCGCCCTAAATCGCGCTATGTGAAGGTGTGCAACATACTCTTTACCCTCTCAGGTGGCAGTAAATACCCCAAAAGTTCTCGCACAAACTTCTCTCAAGTGACAGACAAACACACTTTGGGTACGTATGGTCTTACACAAATATGCACCTTCAGAGCCTACCATACATAAAACACCCAAGCACATTCATGGATGAAAATAGGAAATGATACCTGTATCTTCCCCAAAACATCAGTGCACCAACAAACACAAATGGTGGTGTTCGTCCACACACAGCTGTGCGGTGACACAAAAACACATCTTTAAATGCTTGTGCCCAACAGGTAAACGCAGCACATGCTTGAACAGTGCAAAGCTTGAAATGAAGGAACAAGTCCCACTTCCCACTGGTTGTTCCTACAAACTCAGATAAAGGCCTGTCAGGGACTTTCACAGAAATACAGTGCTGCTTTTTTTTTTTCCCTCTTCCAAGAGACTAGCAATATGCCACACTTCAAAGCATTCACCCAATACAAAGAAGCAATTCCTAAAAATTCTTGAAAATGAAACTTTTGCCCTTCAACCCTTAGAATGGTGGCCCTGCAGGTAAAACCAACAACGCTTTTCGCTATCCATCTCTTTCACTGAATGATGACATAAAGTCACAATTAATTTTAGCTTATTTGAAAATTCAGGAAGGGAAATCTCATTAAAACCAATTTCTACTGCGTACTCCAATCCAAACTTGGCAGGTGCATACGCATAGTGCCTGTTTAAGGAGGGAGGCCCTGAGCATGCTTTTGCCTACAGCACCTTTAGATTTTATCATCTAAGTAACTGCACAGATATATTCTTATTTACAGAAGGATAAGTGGGAAGGGAAACAAGGCTAACCTACTCATACCATTACAATTGTGACCAGGATTAGACTGGGGCAGTTGTAAATGAAAAAAGTAGTCTGATGAGAATGTCTTT